TCCTACTAAATCTTAACCTCTACTAATTAAATCTGCCTTGCCTGTTGCTATACACATATTACTGAACAGATCCAGTCAGTTCCAGATAATAAAGCTAAGAACTCTCCATCACTCTTGGAAACAATCACTCCTTCATTTGGAAGCCAATGCTTGCCTACATGCACATTGGAGAATTTGTTTTTGACTCTTTAATGTGTCTTATCAGTTAGAACAGTTTTTCTTTGAGATGATCTTTTGAGCTCTGTTATGCATGTATTTTAGTGCATAAAAAGCATTTTTGTTCAACTTCACATCTGTGCTTCATTCAGCTACTTTAGCCTTTGCAATACTGCAAATGCAATAACACGTCAATATTCTTCAAAGAGAATTCAGAATGTATAGATTTGGTGGATATTTTCATCTAAGTTTCTAGGGACTGGGGGTGGGAAGGAGTGGGCACTGTTTTTCAGAGCAGGAAGCAGACAGTTTCCAAAGTGATGCACTGTTTCACAGGTTCATACCAAGTCAGCCACTTTTTTTCCATATGCCTACTGACAATCATATTTAATTTATACATGCAGAATTTTAAAATACTGCCCCCTCCATGACCCAACCAAAATCAAAAGTGAATCTCATCTGTTTCAGTCTATCAAGAACCTCCATACTCATGGTGTAAAAAAAAAAAATTAAATGTGTATCATTTTCAGCCTACCTGAAGGTCACCTTCTTTCTATTTATGACAGTATTTGCATACTTTGAGATCTCTTACTTTCCCTTTTTTCCCTGCACCAATTGCTTCCATTAAGAAGGACAACTAAAACAATGGTAAGTTCCTGAAAAATCAGCAGTATTTTAAGTAAAAGGTAAAGAATAATCTTCAGAAGCAAGTATGAGATACCTCCTTCCTGGGGCAAGGCTACGAAGATATCCTGCAGCAGATGACCATTTCCACAACGGACTTACGACATCTCTTGAGGGAGAGGACAGATCTCTGCTATTTAGAAAATGATAAACAATTGCAATTTTTTACAAAGAGGTCAATACATAATTCTACACACTTCAAATGCTTTAGAGCAAACAAAACAGACTTAAACCTGATTTTCATTTCACACAGTACTTGAAAGACTGGAAATGCCTTTTTGCTTATGCCAGTCAAAATTTCTTTTACAGGATTTTTTTTAAAGCCAAATAATACAGGGCAAGTTTGCTCACTTCTCCTCTTAAGAATCTCTAAAAAATTCATAATGCTTTAGTATGAGTTTCTGCAGTGTAAAAATAGACACCCTGTGTTACAAACTCATACAAAATACATCAGTACTTTCAAAATTAATATAACATCATTTTGGAAAGACAAAAATAGCAATCAGTCAAATGACTGCACCCTAAACTGTCACATGGTTAGCTGAAGTTTTCGTAAATAAACCAGCCTATTTAAGTCATGATGACACGTACTAACTGTATTATAGGAACAAAGGTACTCCATAATTAATACTGAAGCAAGTTTCTCATAATCCTTGATCTACTCCCACTTCACCAAGACAGAAGCACAAAACATGCGTTGGACATAACAAGCAAGAATTACATGAAGGTTGCTCTTCTGTCTTGCTTAACACTGTGGATTACTTTGTGGTGTAGTAAACTAAGGAAAAAAAGAGATACTGTTGTAATAAATGCAAGGTATTTTAAATACTAGTAGTTTTGGTAAACTATCCCCAGAAAAATAATAATAATTGTGTGTAATATAAATAAAAACTGATTTTATTTCTCTGGATTTTCTCATGTGCATATCACATGTACCAGAAGTTAGATCAGCCCTTCAAAGCATTTTTGTCAAGGCACTTCGTTGTATTATTTCAGACTGAGGTGCTTTAATGTTCTCAATTCTTTGCTTGGAGGTTATGGCAGTGAACATGTATTACCTTTTTTAACTGCTATGGTCATTTCACACACTACATAACCAACCTGGTGTTCATTTTTGATGCTTGGTATTTTATTCAAGGGAAGTGATAATTCCTTACCTTTATTTAGGATTCATCCATTGCCATGATTACTTCAACAAAAGTCAGCTTATAATTCCTACCATAAAGTCTGCACAGAACCACAAACAGATAGTTTAATGGAATACTCTCTGACAAACTTCAAACCTTTTCAGAAAGGAATTTCTGTTAAATACTGAGGTTTTAAAGAAAGATAATTTCATAGTGAAATTATTATTACATGGACTACATCCCTTTTGTCCTGAAACTAAAAGTAGAATTTCCTTGAAAAGCAACTACAGAAGAGAGTAGTGGTCAAGCTATCACTATCTCCTGTTTTAAAGACAGGCAGGTTTCACATACAGATGTTTTAACCAGCATCAGGTTCAATAATAATGATCTGTCCTTTCTACCATAACACTGGGATCATTACAAGATGTCTGCTACACTGTTGTATATCACCCCTGGAACTCCATATAAGCACAGTGCAGCTGTGAGCCATCAGACATTTCAGCAGTCATTAAACCAAAGATAACTTATTCTTTTAGATAAAGTAGGTTGCTATCATTGGTTTAAAAGGAGCTCTGACTGAAATGTCTCCTCTTGCTTCCCACCAAGCTGAAATGTCTCCTCTTGCTTCCCACCAAGCACAAATGCTCTATACTTTGAATGCTGAATAGAAAGGACAATGGGTAAAGTTAGTTTAATGCTTTTAGTTTAATCTTCAATTTTTTTTTCCCAATACCTTGGACATAAAATCTACTGAAGATAGCCTCTACCAGGTCAGTAAAGCACATTAGCCACTGTCTTCTACGTTGGTGATCTTAGCCTGAAACTGCAAGCATTCAGTAGCTCCCTAAGACGTCATCTCACGTCACCTGGCTTCCCTCTCAACAGAGATAATCAGCACATCTCCGTAGACCCTGTACAGAACACAGAGTTACGTACACTCTGCACATGACGTTCATTAAAACGGAGTGCGAAAGGAAGGGGAGGGAACGTCTGACAGAAGAGGAAATAAACCTCCTTCGAGTCTGCTTTTCAGTTCAGCCGCCGCCCGCTCAGCCGCCCCGCAGCGCGCCCCGGGCCAGGCTAGGAGACACCAGGTCATTTGGTCCGACCTGTCTGCCCAACCAGATTCAAGCCTGGTGGCACAGGTTTGTGTCTATACAGTTCTTGAGCATCTCCCGCGAGAGACACAATCTCTCTGGGAAATCTCATCCAGTGCTCGGTCACCTGCACGGTAAAGAAGTTCTTCCTCGTGGAAGTTCTTCAGGTGGAACTTCCTGTGCATCAGTTTGTGCACATTGCCCTTCGTCCTATTTCTCGGCGGCACTGAGAAAAACCTGGCTCCGTCCTGTCGACACAAGCCTTTTCCAACAGACCAGGACACAGACTTTGCTCCCGCTATGCGGCAGCGCCCCGCCGCCCTCAGCTGCCGCAGCCGCTCCCCAGCCCAGCGCCACGCCCCCAAGGCGGCCTCATGGCGGCGGGGCGCAGCCGCAGCGCCGCCCGCGTTGCTGGCGGTGCAGCGGGCGCCGAGCGCTGCCCCGGCCGCTCTCGCCCCGCCTCGCCGCTCTCGGTAAGCGGCGGCCGCGGCGGGTGTGGCGGCAGCGCCTGCAGTGTGCGGCTGCGCCGGGGCCGCGGGCTGGCGGCGGCAGCAGCGCGTCTGCGCGTGTGCAGCGGCGGCCCAGCCGGAGCGGCGGGCGGGCGGCGGCGTGGGGCTCTGCGGGTGAGGCCCGGGAAGGGCGCGGGGCGAGGGGCGCGGCGGAGCCGCAGGGGCAGCGAGGCAGGGCGGAGGAAGGGGGAGCCCGCGGCAGCGGCGCTGCGGGCCCGCGGCGGGGCGGGCGGCGCGCAGGCCCCTCCTCTGCGGCGGGGCGGCGGAGCCCGGGGGCGGGCGGCGGAGCCCGGGGGCGGGCGGGCGGCGGAGCCCGGGGGCGGGCGGCGGAGCCCGGCGGGCGGGCGGGCGGGCGGGCGGGCGGCGGAGCCCGGCGTCCCCGGGAGCCTGCGCGGGGCCCGCCGCGCTCACGGCGGCCGCGGCTCCGGCAGCGGCGGAGCTGGGGTGACCTGTAGGAAGAGGAGAGCCCCGAGGGCCCGATTGTCTTGGAATGCAAGGGGGAATTAAATTTATTTCAACTGATTTCCCACGTATTTCCTCACCACAGCCCGCTGAGCCTGGCAGCCTGCGTTCGCTTGAGAACTGGTGACAACCTGGCGGCCCCCGATGGGGAGTGGGCCTGGCTGGGCCGAGAGGACCCCTGGGCTGCTGTTCAAAAGCCCTTTTATCATCCCCTTTGTTTTTATTAATTCCCGATGCCCTGGAAGTCTTCTGCCACTGGGGCCTTTGTTGGAAGCTCCCGTGGCGGCTGTGGCTAAGCTGCTGAGAGCTTGCCGAGCTCGCAGCCGTCTCCTGGGGCGTTCAGCGTTGCTGACACCTCGCACGCAGGCTGGCCGGGAAAGCGTGGAACTCCTCAGGGGTGCCCGCGTGTCGGGAGGTTGCGAAAGAACAAAACCCGTTCGAAATATCTGGTCGGTGGAGTTTAAAACTTATATTCCAGGCTGCACTTCTTGCTTCAGTGGTGCAATCTTTTCTGCTGAAGAAATCGTAGGAAATATCTTTTTTCACTTTTACAGTACCCTCTTTTTAATTCCTATTGCAGAGCAGTAGGAGGACGTGTAGTCTAACAGTATAAAAGAACAAATAGAAAATTGTGATGTCTGCATCTGTTATTATCTTTCCGATTTTATTTTTGACAACAGACACTTTAGTATAGGTTTGTACAGTTGATGTCCTGATGTCCTTAGTTTTTGAGATTTCACAGCCTACAAGCTACCTGTAAAGAAATTGCACATAAGAAAAGTTTTTTCTTAAAGAGTTTTTATTAATAAGGGTTTTTCTGTTGGTCTTGTGTAACAGTAAATGTTTAAATAAAAAGTTAGTTCATTTCCCATTCTTACCTGATTATTGAAAAGAAAAAAAATTATTCCCACAAAGCACCTTCTCTAATTTGTGCAAATATATGGTGTCTCTGATAGGAATTTAAAGGTGCAGCATCATGGTTATGAAAGCTACACTAGAAGATGATGATTCAGGATGGGAACTCGGTATGCCTGACAAGATGGAAAAGAGTAATACCAGCTGGATAGATATAACTCAAGATTTTGAAGAAGCTTGTAAAGGTGAGTTGTAGTCCTTTCATTCTGAGAAGACTTGGAATCCTTTGGAGGCCTAAGCATAATTCTTTGAGCTCTTCTGAGCACTAGTTTGACCCAGGTTCAAGCTTTAGATGAATAAGCTACATTGATTCTGTGTTAACTCTGAAGTTGGAATTATCATGAACCACCTCACTTTGTTTCCTCTTCCAGATTACATAAATACCTCTTTAATTAAAGTTTTTTCATCTTACACATTTTCACATCTGCTTTTTTATCTTTTACAAAGATTTCTTACTGTCTCTTCTGCCAAGTGGAAATGTCATCCCTGCATGCAGAATCAACACTCTGTTTCTTTCTTGCATAATTTTGGATCTCCAGGGTCCAGTAATTCATTTATTTCATCAGTGCATAATTTTTCATCTTTGAAACAAGTCTGCATTTTTGAACTGATGCCGTGTATCTCAGTAATGCAGTTGCTTCCATTTAAACAGTGCCTTTAGTACTGGTAGGTGCTACTGCTAGTTTACAGTTTTTCCAACTGATTTTATGATTACACTAGAGAAAAATAAATATAAAAACTGCATCTTACCACACAGAATATGACATTATGATAAACACTATTTCTGTATATTATTTCTGTATATGACTCTAAACTACTTATAAATAATTATTTCTCTATATTGTTTATATCTGTGTACCCATCAAATATATCTAAAGGCTCCTTTAAAAGTTATGAGGAAAGGGAAGCCTTTCAGTAGTCTCCCCTGGTAAAGACCAGGGCGCCTGAATAAAGGAGCAGAGGAAACAGCTGTATTCCAGGCTATTCAGATGCTACTATTTCACAGAATGATCATCACTGAATGATTTGTGTTGGAAGGGACCTTAAATACCGTCTCATTTCAACTCCCCTGACATGGACAGGGACACCTTTCACCAGACTCTGTTGCCCAAAGCCCCATCCAGTCTGGCCTTGAACAGTGCCAGGGATGGGGGATTCATAACTTCTGTGGGCAACCTGTTCCAGTGACTCACCACCCTCCCAGTAAGGAATTTCTCCCAGTATCTAATCTAAAACTCTCTTTTAGTTTAATAGCATTTCCCCTTGTCCTGTCAGTACATGCCATGTAAAAAGTGTCTCTCCATTCTTTTCTACCCTTCCTTTATGAACTGGAAGGATGCTAGATGGTCTCCATAGACCCTTTTCTTCTCCAGGCCGAACAGCCCCAACTCTTTCAACCTGACTTCATAGGAAAAGTGCTTTAGCCATCCATTCATCTTCCTTAGCCTCTAATCAACTTGTACCAACAGATCCATGTCCTTCCTGTGCTGGCACCCCAGACCTGGATGCAGTGTTCCAGATGGGGTCTCATGAGAGCAGAGGGGTAGAATCCTCTCCCTTGTCCCACAGCCAGGATATGCTTTTTGCTCTGTGGACTGTGTGCATAGTAATTCTAAAACTTCTTTAATTCCTAGAATAACAGAGGGATGAGAGCACACTGTTAACCACTGGATTTTTTTTTAGTCTTTCAGTCTTGAAAGTGCTTTCTAAGTAAAAGCAGTAGTGTCATGGGTTGACCTGGGCCAGATGCCAGGCACCCAGCAAAGCCACTCACTCCTCTCCCTCTGCAGCTGGACGGAGGAGAGAAAACTTAATGAAGGTGCATGGTTTGAGATAAGGACTGGGAGAGATGACCAGATATCACCATGGGCAAAACAGGTTCAACTTAGAGATATGAAGTGAATTTATTACTGACAAAATCAGAGCAGGGTAGTGAGAAGTAAAATAACCCATTAAAAACAGCTTCCTGCCACCTCTCCTTCCTTCCAGCTCTGCCTCCCACCCCAGCAGTGCAGTGAGGCAGGGAATGGGGGTTATGGCAGTTCATCACCTGAGGCTTCTCCTGCTGCACCCTGGGGTCCCACCCATGGGAGACAGTTCTCCACAAACTTCTTCCACATGAGTTCATCTCATGAGCAGCAGCTGTCAGTGAACTGCTGCAGTGTGAGTCCATCCCATGGGCAGCAGTCCACGGCTGCAGTGTGGGTCACTCTTTTACAGGGTACAAGTCCTTCAAGAACAGGCTTCTCCAGCATGGGAGCAGGGCCTCTCTCTCTACAGGTCTCCCATAGGAGAGCTGTATCCACCTGCTCAGGTGTGGGTCTCCTCCATGGGCTGCAGGTGGATCTCCACGTCCCCATGGATCTCCATGGGCTGCAGAGGCAGAGCTGCTTCACCATGGCCTGCACCACAAGCTGCAGGGGAACCTTAGCTCTGGCACCTGGAGCACCTCCTCTCCTTCTTCAGTGACCTTGATGTCTGCAGTGCTCTTCTTCTCCCATGTTCTCATTTGGCTGTTCTCCGTCTGCAGTTGAAACTGTGCAATTTGCTTTTTGTTTTTCTTCTTAAATCTGTTACCACAAGGTATTATTGTTTCTAATATGCCCAGTGGCTCTCTGGAGCCACCAGGGATTGGCTTTGATGGATGGACATGGAAGAAGCTTCTGGCAGTTTCTCATAAAAGCTATCCCTGTAGTCATCTCCCCCCACAAGCTACCAAGCCCAGGCCATGCAAACCCAATGCAAGTAGAAATTCCTGATCTGCTTTTTGCAGCTTGTTCACTCTTGGCATAAGGCAGTTTGGTGTGTGACAAGACTACCCTGGAAAAGCTGTGCTAGTAGGATGATTGTAATTGTTTGTTTTGTCCTGTTCCTTTGTAGAACTGAAGTTAGGAGAATTGCTTCATGACAAGCTGTAAGTATGTGTGTGGGATGGTTCTGGCTTTTAGATACGATTACTGCAAACATGTTGATGTTACCTAATAACTAAGCTTTTTTAGACTGTTACTTTAAATAAAGTATATAGAATATTATACATTCTTAGCAGTGTGTATGTGCTGCACCTGTATGAATGCTGAACATATCTGATCCTCTAAGTATAACATAACATTTTTCAATGGAATTGAAATTTTATTTCAGAAGTTGATAGCGCATCTTATCATCTGTGGTGATTATATTACTGCACTATCTTATGGGGCATGCTCTTATGAAAAAAGGCCAAAAAGACTTTAAACCTGGTTGCCCTAAATTTCACTATCAAGTATTTGATAAACAATCTGTATGCTTTAATGCAATGTAAAGCACTTCATGCTAAAGCAGAAAGTGAGAACTCTACACATTGAAAGTATATTTCAAAGAAAAGCATGTGATAAAGATTTGCTGAATTTATTAAAGAATGATGAATTTAAATAATTTATTTTAAAGATTACACTCTTCTTCTTAGTGAAGGTGTTCAGTAAAGAAAAAGGTTATGTTTGAAACTAATAGCTCAGAAAACAGAAGCATGCTATTAAATGAAAGCCGTCTTAAAACTGTGTGCAAGGATGTCACCAGCTAGTTACCAAGTTGAATCAAAGCAAATTTTCATGTATAGTTTTATACATAAGAGCATTTCAGAGCAAATACACTTATCAGAATTTGAATGTGCCACATGCAATAAACTTTTTTTATTATAAAGTCCATTGCAGTTCTAACAAATGTTGTGATAACGTGAAGCACTGTATCTCTTCATATGTAGGCAAGTCTTTTGGTGTGGCTCTTCTGCAAGCTTTTTTTCTTCTGCCCTGAATACAAGTGATATGTCACATGCTGAGAGGATTTTTTTTGCATCCTTTGTCTTAACATGCCCATTTTAAACAAAGCTGGTATATTCAATATATATTAGTCTATGTTATGTGTATTGTCATTAGTGTGTGGGAGACATACCTTACATGTTTTTTTGGATATGGTGTACTAAGGAACAGTTTGTTCAGTTAATATCAGTTTATGATTTTACATGATGTTTAAGAAGTTGCTATGAAGTTTATAGAAACAGGTGTGCAAAGATAAAGTGATGGGATATTTCACTCAGGAGTGTTCTTCATCTTTAGAGAAAGGCCAGTAATTTTCTTTTACTTTTAGCCATCTCTTTTCTTATGAATTTGTTGAGAGATCCTTAACTTCCTGAAAACTATGATCTCTGAAGATCAGTACTAATGTTCACATACCTTACTGTCTGTGGTCAGAATATAGTGTACTTGGTTTGTCATCCTATGTTCTTTATCGTTAGTTTGCAAAGACTATTTTGTATAAAATAATTGCATTCAGCACATTTATTTTGTGTTCTTAGTTTTGGTCTTTTTGAAGCCATGTCTGCCATTGAAATGATGGATCCCAAGATGGATGCTGGTATGATTGGAAACCAAGTTAACAGAAAGGTTCTTAACTTTGAGCAAGCTATTAAGGTTTGTGTGAATTTCCTGGGTTTGCCTACACTGTCTGTAGAAATACACATTTTTATCACATTACCACTAAGCACAAGACAGCATAATGTTTTCAATCTCCTATTGAAATCGATGATTTTTTCTTTTGGATAATTAAGTAAAAAATAGCTTGTGATGTTTACCTTTCTTGTTACCTGCATTATCACAATCATGCTAACCCTTCCAGTAAAAAGTAATATGAAATTATTGGGTATTGATACCTCAAGTAACTATATTTCCAACATTGTTTCTTGCAAATCACTCTGTGCGTCTCTAAAATATGCCTTTTATATGATGATATATTGGTTAGCTTCTGTTTAACTTGAATGGAAACCAGCTTCCTTAAAAAAGCTGGAAATTAACACTATATTATTATTTGAGTTTATCAGCATTGAACAGAAACTGGATAATTTACCAATATTGACAGTAATGATTAATTTTTGATTTATGATCAAGGTAAATTGGAGGACCGAGGTCGAAAGACTTGTTCTTATTTCAGAAAATGTAATACACTCAGAGGGAAAAATATTTTTTTGTGGTGAACATCTGGAATGGAGTCAGAGAACTCTGTAAAACACTACCTAAGTCATGTAGAATGTATGCAGGATTGCATACATCAGGCAAATTAAATGATCAAAGTTGCAGCTGTTTTGGTGTTCACCTTTAAGATGATAAAAGACTACAAGTATTTCCAGTTTAAGAAGCAGTCTTCAAAGAATTGGTCCTGCATATTATTCTTTGTTCAATCTTTATTATGATTGTACAGTTTTTGTGATTTTAGTGTTAGCAGTTAACTGGTTTTAAACTGTTCTTGGCTAGTAATAAGTAAGAATTGTTACTTTACCATTCTCTTTGGGTAGTTTTATGTTTGGTCAGTGTTAACTGATGAGAATGAAAAGTTTTTAAGAATTTGAGATGTGTTACAAAGCTAGAGGTATGCAATTACTCTGAAGTCTTAAACAAATTCTAATTCCTTTGTTGGCTTTGGTACGAATAAACTGTATTTTGCCTGTATAATTCCATAGTACTTAGGTTTTTGGTTATGGTTTTTTGTTTGTTTGTTTTCTAAGGATGGTACCATTAAAATAAAGGATCTCACTTCACCTGAGCTGGTAGGAATAATGGACACGTGTTTTTGTTGTTTGGTAAGCAGTTTCCTGTTCTTTAGGGTTAGATGGTTTTGCTTTCAAAATACAATCCTTTTATCCATCATAAAAAAAAACCGAAAAAAAACAACCAGCAGAACACAAAAAAAGGTTGACCAAGCAGAAAATACATACGTATACTTTTTAGTTGCTTGCCTTATTTATTATGGCTTAATTTTGATTTTTAATTTTTTTACAATAAGAAATAATGGATAGCTGGTAACACCATAAAAACTTTAAAAGCTTTTATAGTTTCTAGATTTCTAAATGTGTGTTATCTGATTGCCTGCTGTGTATTGATGTTTGACTGTGTTGGAAGCTGAGTGTGCAGTAACTGGTAGCACTCTGTTGCTTCTTTCTGCACAGCCAGAATTAACTGAGCTTACAGAAGCATTTTGAACAAAGAAAGTAAATCTATTTATAAAAAATAAGTTGAATATCATTTACTTATTAATTGCAATTTTTTGTGTATGTGCTCTAATTTTCTCAGTGAATGATACTCATTATTTTCAGTTATTCTTACATAAATAATATTATTTTCAAAAACATTTCTAATCAGTTTAGTCAGAATGACATGTAGAGATCATAGTAGATCTGATACAGTGTAATATCATTTGTTTTCTACATCTGGTCCCCAGAAGGCACAGTAGTGATATTAAAAATACAATTCTACTTAATTTTTTGCTATTTCAAGGTAGAAATTTAAGTTACTGAATCTTTCCCTGTAGCTTAAAGAAACATGGAAGTGGTAGAGAGAGGGGTTTGTGACCAGAGGCTTTTATGATGTAAAAGAGAGAGACCATGAAGAACATTAGTGACTTGTCTCATAGTCATTTGCATTTTCCCATTCACTTTTTATGCAGAGAAAGTTTATAAGTGTGAAGCTCTCTTAACATAATGTCATGTCTAAATCACAGGAGTTAGAACTCATAGATGAGTTTTATCCAACACCAGAATTTTAGGCTTGAAACACTTTCACTTGCCCTTTTTTGGTACTTGATAAGGTAACCTTAATTTTTAAGGCTTAGTTTCTTAATGAGTTTTTGAAGCACAGTAAAATGGAAAAAGAATGGATCTATAAAAATGAGGACTTGGCTGTCATGAGTTAAATATTTATTTTCCTTTTCTCTAGATAACATGGTTAGAAGGACATTCCTTGGCACAGACAGTATTCACTTGCCTTTATATTCATAACCCAGACTTCATAGAAGATCCTGCTATGAAGGCTTTTGCTCTCGGAATCCTAAAAATCTGTGATATTGCCAGAGAAAAGGTTAATAAAGCAGCTGTTTTTGAGGAGGTATGTGTTTCCCATCTCCTGTGGGGTTAAATATGTGACATTATACCATCCATAGTGCAAGTAAAACAATGTGTTAGTGGCATTTGTTAGTGTTTAATTCAAGTATACTGTAGGAATAGCAGTTCATCATCCTAAAAGTATTAGACTGGATACCTTTAAAGTACAGTTTTCCACAATGAAGGTGTTTCATGCTCTTCCGTATTTTCCTTGAATATTGGAGCCACATAAATATCTTAATCAAGAAGCAGTGCAAGTCTTGTGTTTAACCATTTGAAATAACGTTTCAGTTGTGGTTATCTTCCAGTTTAATTTTTTTTATTTTTTCATGTTAGTCATTATTGCATTTTGTCTAAAACGTCTATCTGGCAATGAGATCAGAGTCCTGTTTTCTGTGCTCAGAGCAATCTGTTTCTTCTGAGCTTGGACAAGTCACTCTTGCTGACTGTATCTAAAATGGATCAAATACTATTTTGCAGCTATAGTTTTTGTAACATATTGGAAGGGTGTCACTTGATGAAAATATGAAGGGCATATTGTTATTAAGAATTTTTGCAGAAAATAATTACCTCAAGCTGGATTTGGGTGGGCAAGTCATTCAGTGTATTCATTGAGTGTATTCAGCTGTGTAGAATAAATCTGGACTTCTGTACTTGATGAAATGAAACAAAAGCACACCCCCACCATTCATCCAAAAGAGAAAAAGTATCAAAAAGACATAAAACCTATAAGAAAACCACTCCCAAAAAACCCAAACAAAAAAAAAAATCTCAAACCCCAACCTGAAAATGTAACTACAGATTTTATATTTCACTACATATTGCTTCCTTGATCTTTCTTTTTTAGGAAGATTTTCAGTCAATGACATATGGATTTAAAATGGCCAACAGTGTGACAGATCTTAGAGTTACAGGTACAGTTTATGGTTTCTTTGTATCTGTCCAGCAGCCTCTTTTTTGAGCATGTGATTGCTTTCAGACACATCTGATTAATTGCTAGGAGTCTTAGCTGTTAAGTCTTTTATTTGTCTTGTGGAAATTGCTGACTTGATAAAAAAGAGATTAAATTATTTTTCCTTGGAAAAAAGGTTCAGTTGTCTTGTTAAGTCCCTGAGAAACAGAAGAAGTGCTTTTAGATGTGCCAGTGAAGTGGTTAGGCATGAGCTCATCACAGTAAAGATACAGACCATTGGAAAGTGCATTACTTGAATTCTTTTTTCTTCATAATTTGTTGTCCTCTAAACAGGTTGCATTACAAAAAATAGCAATCTAGTAGCTCTACAGCTATGAATACATATGTTATTAGGTACATCCATAAGTACGTATGTTAATCTTTTGATGCACGAATTTTTTGTATATGTATTTGAGCTTTCCACTGATGTATTTTTGAAAAGTTTGTGCACTCTTTAGCTTTGCATCAGTTGGTCTATATTCTGATTTTTGGTTGTTCCGAAACATCCCCACCATTCCTCACAAGATTATTTTTTGTGTAGTCTTTGGCTAATGGAAATGTAAAGCTCTTCTGAGTTAGACTTTCTCCATAAAACTTCTTTTTCCCTGAGTGGTGAAGGTGTTCCTAGGAATGCTTCTCTGCTTTTAATCATGCTGTGTTTTTTTCCAGGTATGCTGAAGGATGTAGAAGATGACATGCAAAGACGAGTGAAGGTATTGTTTTAATGTTTGTCTTGTCAATTATATTTCAGGTGTACTTAACATAGGTTTGGGGCAGGGAGTTGGATTATGAGGAATGAAGGAGGTTTGTGTCATTATGGTGGGGTTTTTGAAGTACTGCCATAATGGTTTCTGTAGTATGCTTTTAGTTTGCCTTTTAGCTAAATCTTCAGACTTCATTTGTCACTCCTTAGTAGTTGCTTCACTAGTAGTAGCTGGAATCATGATGTAGAGGATACACTGAGCTGGGACACAGAAAGTAGGTGTTTAACTTTCAGGTTAAAGGCAGATATACTATGTGATGTTAAAGAAGTTAACTAATTTTCCTATACCACAGCTTATAAGGTAAAGCGTTCATGCACTTTCCTTGCTTATTTGTAGAATTTACTGAGATAGGTCATATTACTATAGGAGAGTCATTCAAGTATCTAGATTATATATTAAGAAACTTTGAATTTGAAAAGTGATTTTGCAGGTTATTTACCAGGTGGATGTTTTAGAGAAGGCCAAGGGATTTTATCAGTAGCTTCCCTTTGCAATTTTTAGTAAATTATTTGACATTTCTTTACCTTGCAGAGCACCCGAAGTCGACAAGGAGAAGAGAGAGATCCTGAAGTTGAACTTGAAGTAATTGTTTGCTTTTTTCCCTGGATTTCATGGATGTAAATGGGAGATTTAAATATGGCATAATCACACCCCTGCATATAAGAAGCAGCCAGGAAGTGTGACCACCAGGAGCATGGGGAAGAGCTGTCAAAAAGCAGGGCATGCTCAGGCTTTTTGTGTGGCAGTTTGTGCAGGGAGGGCAGGAGTCCTGTGGGAGTTCTGTACAGCACAATACAAGAAAGCCATTAAGTATTAGAGAGTGTCCAAAAAAGGACCATGAAAATGATGAATGGCCTTGAGGGGGAGCTGTATGAGGAGAAGCTGAGATCACTTGCTCTGTTCAGCCTGGAGATGAGGAGACTCTCAGGGGAGACTTCATTGCAGTTACGTCTTCCTTGTGAGGAGAAGAGGAGGGGCAGGCCCTGACATCTTCTTTGGTGGTGACCAGTGGCAGGACTTCAGGGAAAGGTCTGAAGTTGTGTCAGGTGAGGTTGTATGTTGGATATTGGAAACAGAGTTTTCAGCCAGAGAGTGGTTGGGCACTGGAACAGGTTCCCCAGGGTGGTGGTCACAGCACTAAAACTGAGTCCAGGAAAATTTGGACCACACTCAAACACATGATGTGGCACTTGGAGTGGGCCAGGAGTTGGGCTGGATGATCCTTCTGGGTCCCTTCCAACAAAGGATAGTCTGTGATTCTATGATCTAATACCTACTGCTTGGTAATTAGCAGTATTATTTTATTACAGCATCAACAATGTTTAGCTGTCTTCAGCAGAGTCAAGTTCACACGCATCTTACTCACTGTACTAATAGCTTTTACGAAAAAAGAGGTATGTTCATTTGGCATTTTTGTGTTTGAATTTGGATCCTATGAAGTACCCATTTTTCATTCTTTTAAGATCAGGCAATTACTGTGTAGATCCTGGAGATTTGAATTGATGTGGATGGAGGTAAAGCTTTGAATAAAGCCTTTCAGTGGCAAAAACTTAATTTTTGTTCAAAGTGGGAAACACAGGGAAGGCTAATAGCTGGCATTATTATGGCCTTGCAGAAAGACAGAATATTCATTATAAAACATTTAAAATATTTATAGATTTCTAATTAATCTTTTCACACATGAACAAAACTTCTTGTTTGAGTTCAATTCCCTCCTGTGGAGTTACTTGATGCTGTGCAGTATTTTGTCCATATCAGAAGAACTGTATGCTTTTCCTTACATGTGATACCAAATTCATATGTAGATATCTTTGGTCTGAGAAGAGGAATTTAATAGCATTCCATACAATTTGCCTGTTTTTTGAATATAAGATTTCCTAATTGTTGAGAGGGGAAGAGCTACATGCCCCCCTAAGCAGATTCTCATGCATTGTTTACAAGACTTTCAGTTGTACTATTGTAAAGTCTTACACAGCAAAATACACAGCATTGAATTTATGTAGAGTTACATAAAATACAAAGAACACTACCACACAAAAGTATTGGATTGTTTGGGTTTTTTTCAGAACTAGTTATGTAAGAATATCAGAATCTTAATGCCCTTTCTTTTTTCATATACTAACATTAATTAGATAGTCAAAATTTATTGGTTTGTAATGATAATAATTGTTTCCTGCCTTTCAGACGAGTGCAGTTGCAGAAGCTCAGAAACTAATGACTCAGGCAGCTGACTTGCTCTCTGCCATACACAATTCACTGCATCATGGTATGCAGGCACAGAATGATACCACTAAAGGAGGTATGTATCAAATTACACCATTTTTTCCTTTTCTCGATATGATCCCTTCATAAACATAAATATCTGTGTATTTTTAAAAAGTTGAAATCACTATTTACTTTGAATTAAAACACTTATATGCAAGTTGTTACAGATTTGCATTGTTTGATTTTAATTTTATTTTACCAGGTGGTGGTTCTCCTGGAAGCAATGATGTCATTTCAAAGCCAGAATTAATGTGAACTTTTGATTAAGTGCATTGCACTTAGTGTATATGCCATTTTAAAATAGGGAACAGTACTTCACTGTTTTTACAGGAGGATGCAGGTTTTATAAAGAGTAATCATTGTCTTAGTTGGGTTGTTGGAGTCTAAGGAAGTTAACTGTCACTTTAAAGAATTCATTTTGGCTAATTAAATAATTTGTATTATTGAAGGGGGTTTTGAAAACACAACATACATGCAGCTTTTCTGTCTCTCTCCCCTCCTTCTTTAGATCATCCTATTATGATGGGGTTTGAGCCACTTGTTAATCAGAGACTGCTGCCACCAACTTTCCCTCGATACGCAAAAATTATTAAAAGGGAAGAAATGGTCAATTATTTTTCCAAACTAATAGACAGAATAAAAACTGTATGTGAAGTAGTCAACTTAAGTAACTTGCACTGTATACTGGTAAGCATGAATATTTCTTATTTATTGCCAAAAAGATCTGAAAATGATTTGCAAAAAAATCATTCCATGTGTGCATGCACTTGCTGACTGTAGAGAAAACTGAGCACTGTGCATGTATTTGGTGTTTTTAACTGTTAGGGTCAGTTTCAAAGTTTACTATCCTTCCTGATAGTTATACTTTTCTTCTTTTGACAAAGACCTTTTCTCCTCTCAAACATCAAATTTTTCCCGTAATTCATTAAGTAACTATGTCTTATTGGCAAAGCCCAAGCAGGTTTCTTTGGTTGAAGATCTGTGTCTACAGCAGCATAACATAATTCTTTGCTATATACCTGATTTTTTTCAAATTCGTTAAGCAGTATTCTGCACATGTGCCTATAACACAAGAGAGCACTAATTAGGTGTTTAAGCATGCAGTTTCCTAAATAGGCATAAAGCTAAGCAACTGCTTATGTTCTTTCCTGAATAACTAATGTTACTCTTAGTTACTACCTACATTTATTAGAAGACACTTAAATGCTTGAAATATTTTTTGGTATCCATGCATTCACTGACTGATAAAAGAGATAAAGTTACAGCAAACCTCTTGGCTTTCTATTTCCTGTTAATTAAAGAAAGGAGTGTTTGCATGAAGCGTCTGGTACCAGTTAAACCTTTCCTGGGTTTCAATCAATTTTTTAAAATCAATTCTCAGTTTTGTTCAATACTTGCTGTAGTTAGATCATGATCTTAACAATCTCAGTATCTTTTCCTGTACTATCATCTTTCTAGTTGTTGCATTTGAAAATTCAGAAACCTTTTTGTTAGGCAAAAGTAATTGCACAAAATCTTCATAATAAATTTTGTTATGTTTAAGTTATTCATGGTCTGTTTCTTACAATCTGTGTAAGCTATGCTCTTTGTATGCTTTTAAACAAAATATTGGTGTATTTACACAGGTGTGTATATTTCTTTAAAAAGGATGCATGTCTGTGTGTAAAAATGATTTATTTTATATTTATACATATATAAATTGGTATATTAACCTGATTTGTCTTTTTTTTTTCTTTTCCTGTGTATACATTAGGACTTTTTCTGCGAGTTTAGTGAGCAATCACCATGTGTTCTTTCAAGATCCCTGTTACAGGCAAGTTTTAATTATGTCTATTAATAAAATACTTCTGTATTCATTATAGATTCCTCTTATTAAGTATTTCAGTAATGTGCATGTAAGTTAGTAATAGTTAAGTGGTAAAAAATGTTCTGGTGATATTTATGTATTGAGTATTATGGAAGAAATGCTTTTCTATGAGGATGATGAGGCATTGGAACAGGCTCCCCAGAGAAGTTGTGGGTGCTCCACCAAGTGTTCAAGGCCAGGAAGTGTCCCTGCCCATGGCTGGGGGTTTGGAACTAGATGATCTATAGGGTCCATTCCACCACAAACCATTCTGTGATTCTATATATGGAGGCTTATGTTTTGATCTAATTTTTAAAATATTTTTTAAACACTGTTGCTTTGGTCATTTTAGTACATGCTAATTAAAACAGCATTTTAATTTTTTTTTCTCCGCCATAAAGCTGTGCCTGTACACACATTTTTATGCTGCTCTCCATGTGCTTTGCCATTTTGGGGCTGATATTTATATTCATCTCACTTTTTGGACAGAACTTAATGTACAGACTGCTTCTATTGCCACTACAGTAAAACTGATGGTTGGTGCAGAATAATAGGGTGCCCCTAAGATGCCAGAACTTCTTTACATTTGGTCCCTATTAAACCATGGGTAGAGCCAATGGACTATAACTATGGGCAAGTAAAATGTGTTCTTAGTGTGTGTGTTCTCACCTTCCACTGCCATGTATTTCTGTAATCCCTGTGGGTGCCTGACAGCAGAGTTTTTTCTTCAACTGTTGGAGAACCGTGTAAGAAAGGGACACAGAACTCATGGAGGGAAGTTATATGAGTATCAGACATGACTGATGTAAGTAGTAGCATCCAGAGGGATTGAAAAATGCCAGCAGTAGTCTGGAGATATGTCATCTGTGTCCAGAGAAGGCACATATTTTACGCAAATCTTCAGAAATACCTGATTTATCATCCAAGAAATTAAACAATTTTGCATGAACTCTATTATGCAAGTAACAGAGCTGTATTTGGTGTCCTGGGAATACCACAGAAATGTCAGATCTCAGTATTTCTGAGTCTTTAACCTTGGACCTTGTTGAACCATTTTAATTCTTAAAGTGATCTTACAATTTTATTATATATAATAGGTATTGCCAGAGCTTTCTATTAGTAATTCTAGAGCATTACTATTAACTTAAAATGTATTTCTAAAAACACATCTTTTAGACAACTTTTCTAGTAGATAACAAGAAGGTGTTTGGTACTCATCTCATGCAAGACATGGTAAAAGATGCCTTAAGATCTTTCGTCAGTCCTCCAGTACTTTCTCCAAAGTAAGTGGATCTTGAGTGTACTTGTATGTGTTTACATGTCTGATGAAAAAGTATTTCTGCTTACAAGAGCAATGACAAATGTACAAAAAGGATGCATTTTTTTTGTAGTGCTTGCATATGAAGGAGTCAGTTGCTGTTGCTGCACTCATGTTTCTTTCTTGTTTTGTGCTACATAGACTGGTGGCATCTATAAAAAATATGTAGGTACATGGATATTTCTTTTTTAGGTGTTGTCTTTATAATAACCACCAGGCAAAAGACTATATTGATTCCTTTGTCACACACTGTGTTCGGGTAAGTGTTCTTTCCAATTACAACATGTATGTGTGTGTGAGCACTTGGCAGATTTGCATACATTTGAAAATGAGACAAGTTATTTTACACACCTGACATGAAGGCAAAGTTGAAGAAGTTGGCCATCTTAAATTGGTAATGACTTTTAAATATCCAGTGTAATTATTGCTAGTTTTCTTCTGCTTCCAGATTTTTATTTAGCATTTCACTTTACAAGGAATCTGCATCTACTCTTTACAGATGCCACAGATGCCACAAATCCATATCCATATCACTAATAATTTTACATTTCGTCCAGTTTCAGTTTTCTAAGATTCTGTTATTGAACTGGCATGATAAAAATCATAACAAAATCAGAATTACTTAGGTTGGAAAAGACCTCCAAGCTCATTGAGTCTAAACCAGTACTGCCAAGTCCATCACTAAATCATGTCCCTAAGTACCATAACTACACATCTTTTAAATACTTCCAGAGATGGTGACTGAACCACTTTTCTGAGAAGCTGGTTCCAATGATTGACAAACTTCTTTGTGAAGAAATTTTTCTTAATATTCAGTATAAACCTCCCCTGGCACAACTTGAGGCCATTTCCTCTTGTCCTGTCACTTGACAGAAGAGATGAGCTCCACGTGGCTGCACCCTCCTTCCAAGCGGTTGTAGAGATTGATAAGGCCTCCCCTGAGCCTCCTTTTCTGTAGGGTAAAATAAAAACACCCTCAGCTCCCTCAGCTGCTCCTCACAGGACTTCTGCTCCCGACCTTTCACCAGCTCCATTGCTCTGCTGTGGCTCTGCTCCCTCAGTGTCTGTCTTGTGAGAGGCCCAGAAATAAATGAGATTTGAGGCAAGACCTCATACACCAGTACTGAGTACAGAGGGACCACCACTGCCTTGGTCCTGTTGGACATAGTGTTTCTGATACAGTTCGGGCTTGGCTACCTTAACCACCTGGACACATGGATTTAGGCATAAGAAATACCTCTTTAGCCCCTGGTGACCTTCCTAAAGGATGCTGACTCAATCTCACATTGACTTTTGTACGGAGAAATTGGCTCTTGCATCACTCCGTAGAGTTTACTTTCCTGCTGACTTGCACTTTGTAGGGAGTGGTAATGAACCCACCTCTTAATGTAGATGTATGAATCAGGTGCCTAGATAGACATCATAGTACTTCTGTAGTTTCAAAGTTGTATTGGTAATTTAAAATTTCACTTTGCTTCTTTCAGCCATTCTGTAGTCTGATTCAAATCCATGGACACAACAGAGCTCGTCAGAGAGATAAACTAGGCCACATCCTTGAGGAATTTGCCACACTACAAGATGAGGTAATGTCCTAGGCAGCAGGCCAACAAAGTTTCTTTCCAGGTATATTATTGCCAGAGTGAAGCATGGTACTAAATTCTAAATGAATGATGGAAAATCCTTGAGGCAAGGGCACCTAAAATTCAGCATAAGAAATTGTTAGGATGCATCCAAAAACTTCATGCTAGATGTGCTGAACAAAAACATACTACATTTTTTAAGATTAGCTTTGTCTAGTAAATAAACTTCAGAAAGACCTGTTGCAGTATAATCTAATGGTAATTGCACAGCTTTTTGTCTCTATCCTGCTTGTGATTATCAGTCTGCAGGATGTAACCAGGTAAGATAAGGTGTGCTTACAAGACACCTTGGAAAATTCAGCCTTAGACCTACATATGATGTAGATATAAGTTTATAAAAAAAACCACTTTAAAATATGTGCTCTGACTAATTTTGGACATCTCTTAAGAATGGGGAGAGATGAGAAAAAAAAAATTCTTTCTTGCAGGAAATAAGTTTCCTCAGCAGTGAGAGCCATATAATAATAAAATATTTCCCGAGATGTATGTGGCAAGGAGAACAATTGAGGAACTTGGAGGGTGATTTTGTGTGCTCCATCTTCTTCAAGATGATTTGAGTTTGTTGCAGTATTGTAGCTGAGCTGTTTAGTTCATTTAGTAGCAGGTTATATGGATAGTTCTGTTTAGGCTTACTGATGATATTCCTGCTGTGAGAGACTTTGTCTTCCATGCAACTTGCTTCTTAAGACAAAATTGGTCTTGGCAATATTTTAGTTACTCTGGTGGAACACAATGTGTTTCTTGCATATAAAGCTTATAAATTTACTTTTCAGTGCAGCTAGGTTGTTTTTTTGTTTTTTTTTTTTTTTTTTGAAGAGAAATAATTATTGCCAATATAGAACAATGAACAACAGCATGTAATGGGTTCTGAGTTTGTGCTCATGTGACTGCTAATGATCTATATACAAATACATTTAAAAATTACAACTTTTACCTATTTAATGTTCTTGCTACATTACTGTGTACAATATTTTTGTTTTATGCAGCAGAATTTACTTAGGTGAGTGTCACTGCAGTTTTCTGACAGTTCTAGACTTATTTCCATCTTTTAATCTGGAGCATGTGTTTACCAACCCAGTTTGTTAAGATTTTATTTCTGGCTTAGGATGCTGTTTCAGTCAAATATTTTTCCTCCTTTGTCTATTACTTCGAGGTCCTTTGTTTTTTTTCAACAGGCAGAGAAAGTAGATGCAGCGCTTCATAGCATGTTACTGAAGCAAGAACCACAAAGGCAACATTTGGCATGCTTGGGCACCTGGGTCCTATATCACAACCTTCGTATTATGATACAGTATCTTCTTAGTGGCTTTGAGTTAGAACTTTACAGTATGCATGAATATTACTACATCTATTGGTAAGAAGATGCTTTATTGACAGCTCTTTGAGGGGGGATGCTCCCAGAGAGCTATAATTACACATATTTGAAGAAGGGACTTCAAATACAATTTTGTGATCTCAAGCTTGATGAACACTGTGTTGAGCAATATTTATATTATTGCAAGTGGAGAAAAAAATCTGTTGGTCTCTAGGTTTTTAAGCTTACTAAATATAATACACCTTTTTTTTCCTGAAATAATAATTCTCACTCTGTTTAGCTTTTTGGCAGAGGGTCTTTTCATTCAGTGAATGAAATGTGTGCTGATTTTGGTAGGGAAGAGCGTGCAGGAGAAAAGCAATTTCCTTTATTCTTTCCTGCCTTTGTAGTCAGGATCAACTAGTCTTATTGATCTCTAGTATTCTGGAAAAGTTCTGCCCAGTTTTAAGTCATATGTGTAATCTGAAAGTTGACTAGCTAAAATTAACTTCTTATCTGGGGTATATTTGAAGAGACATCCTCCACCTTTAGTGAAAATTATCACATTATTTGGAAAGAGAATACTTCTATTTTTCCACTTCCATTCACATTAATTATTTTTCATAGTTACTGGCTTGTGCCAAAAGAGAATTTTGAATTTTTTTTTTAAACTACCAAGAGATTCCTATGTCAGCCATAAGCCTTCTTACTGAAAGGTTAAAACAGTGCAAATGATACAAACTTCAATGTATTGCATTTCTTCGTTGTTTCAGCAGTGGATTAAGTGAGAAAATTAATATTTCATAAGTTACCAGAAGATGGCAGTCTTTTTCAATTAGTAACTCAATCAGTAACACCAACTTTTGTAGAAGACAGTACCTTTTCTACCTGCCCATATTTCCCTCTACCATTTTATTAAAACCACTCTTTGTTGGAATTGTCATGTTAACTGCTTTTTTACTCAAGGGAAAAAAAAAGGAAAAACAGTTTCTGAGAGGTGATGTGCAAATGAAACTCAAATTTCTCAGTAATTTTTCTTCTGATTACAACATTTTTGTAACTATTACTACATTTTTATTGTACTTCAAATCTTTAATGTTTTTCTATTCTTTTTTCCCTATTACTTTTGATTTCAAGTCAAGTAAGATATTTATTGGACTCACTTCCACCTTCTAAAAAATGTTCTTAAAGTTGTCTCTTTAACTCTGAAAGAACTGCATATGTATGTTGTGTGTCTATGGGCTTGGCCCCTTTATGTAGTAATTCACAGCTTTTTAATGCTTTAGAAAGGCAGTATAAAGTTATCTTGTTTCTCAGAATAACAAGTCATAAGAAACAAAAGTAGAAAAGGTATTAACATAGTATCTTTAAAAAAAACCACTTGATTTGGTGGGAGAAGAGTTCTAGAAAAATTTGGTCATAGAGGAGTTTTGAAATAAGCTTAGACTTCATTTAGTAAATGTGTAAGAAGCTTGCACACTGTTTGTGGTTGAATCTGAACCAGAACATGAACGTAGACCAAGGAGTTGATTCCAGCCATACTAAACAAAGTGTTTTCATGGGCCATAAGCATGGTCCTTTGCTAGGACACATCCTTTACCTCTTGGAGCACATGCCTTGGTACTGGGTGGGACATGTGCAGGATGAGTGCATGGAGCACCACAGCCCGTAACAGTTCTGTATGGCTTCTGTGCAGGTACCTCTCAGAGTTCCTCTATGCCTGGCTGATGTCAACACTGAGCCGTGCCGACAGCTCTCAAATGGCAGAGGAGAGGATAATGGAAGAACAACAGAAAGGCCGTAGTAGTAAAAAAACAAAGAAAAAGAAGAAAGGTACCTAGATGTAGAGTGTTAACACATTTTTTTCCCCTTTTTATGCAGCCATATAGAACTACAATTCAAAATTTAAATAGGCAACACTGATATGGGTAGGAAAAATATCCTAATATTTATGAAGGGTGAATGTAAAGTTCCCTATTTAGTTAGTTTTTTTACTTTCAAATAGATCTTTCAGAAAAACACAAACTCATTTATAGTCACCGTATAGAGTTTCATCAGTTGTGTTATGTGTTGGACCTCCTCAAGAGTTCATAATTCCTGCAGAATTATGCTTTTAGTGATTAACTAGATTCAAACACTAGACTTTCAGCATATTTCTGTGATTTCTATTTGGCTTTAGAGGTTTCTTAAAGCATGTTTCTTAATTATACAATGGTGAGTTTCCCTTTCTTTTCCTTGCCAACTTTTCAAGGAGAACAAACAATTGGATATGAACAGCTCAGGATCATATCAACTAAATTCCCTTGTCTCTATGAAACATAAATTTTAAGGAATTTAGAGATTTTAGAGGAGCTAAGATTTTAGTTAAAGATAAGCTTTACTAGAGTTGATTAAAATAAATGAGTAGGCCTTGATGAAGTTACGAGTTAGTAGTTAACTAATGATTGCTTGTCAGCATAATGTTTAGTTAGCTGGGTTTATAATGAAGAATATAGAAACTGACAAATAGCTTTTGGGAATGTAAGACAATTGTGGGCCTCCTCTGTTCTGAAACCAACTGAAGACAAGGAATGGGAGAGTTCATTTGTCATATTTGCATTGAGAAGGCAGAAAGATCAGAATGAGGAAGACTTCATTTACTTCCTCATTTTGGGACCCCTCCCCATGAAAGGAACCACTGACCCATTTCAAGGAACAAACTATGCATGCTTAATAGCTTTGAAATTATTAGCATATGAAGCAAGGAATGGGATGTACCAAAATTATGTATTTGTATTTTGGGTGTTCAATACTTGTATGGATAAAAGGACTCTGTAATCACTTGGAAGCTGCGGTATTTGGGAGCTATCCCGCACGCTGCCTGACATCGAATAAACATACAGTTTCTAACTTTATACTGTTAGAGAGTTTCTATCCATCACAGTTGGATATCAGTACTAGATCAATATCCATATTTTTTTAATAAATCATCTAGAAGTTCAGAAAATTACTAAAATACTTGAGATGCCAAGTGTTGGGCAGTTTGGCATTAATTAAACACTGGAAACTAAAGGGAAACTTGAAAGAATGCTGTCAGGATTATTAGGATAAAAAGTGTTTCAACTTCTTAGCCCTAGAAGTCAAAAAGATCCCTGAACTAGGTCTCTTATGTACAGACTGAGTGTTTGAGGCTGTTGTTCAGTGGTTTATAACGTCATAGCAATACCACTGACCAATTTATTCCATTGAGAGTAGAATTGTGTTATGTGACTGGTAGGTGTGTCCTGAGGTATTTTATGTAACCAGGAGTCAGGTGAACTGAAATGCATGTCTAGGCTTTGTACTTTAGTTATTTTAAACTATAATTTAGAGTTATGTGACTCTGTGGAAATTTGGAAGAACTCCTCTGATCTGAAATTAATGCATGTACTTACACTGAAGTAAGAAAATGTATTTTTATGTAAAATTTGCAGTTCGCCCTCTCAGCAGAGAGATCACCATGAGTCAAGCATACCAAAATATGTGTGCTGGGATGTACAAGGTAACTTATTTATGTTCTATTTGTTTCAAATCTTTTTGTAATAGGGATCCTGCATACCTTGCATACCTTCTTTTTTTGTAGTGGTGCTGGAAATTTAAGTTCAAATTTATAATTTTCTATGGTAAATTCTCTACAGTTTTTCTATCCTTCCAGTTATACCTATACCATAATTCTGATCTCCCTCACAGCAAAATATGACATAAAGCTAGTACTTCATATTTATCATTTTCTTTTAGACAATGATTGCCTTTGACATGGATGGCAAAGTAAGAAAACCTAAGTTTGAACTGGATAGTGAACAAGTTCGATATGAGCACAGATTTGCTCCATTCAACAGTGTTATAACACCACCTCCAGTGCACTACCTGCAATTTAAAGTGAGTAATCTTCAAACGTGCTGCTGCCCATGCTTTTATAGAAGTCATTTACTCACCTGCTTTAAATATCACTGTCATAGTAAAAAGAACCTCAAAGTTCACATTGAAGCTATGTCACAATGGCAAGGACTTCTGGCTTCAGTTTTGTGCAAGATATATTGGACTGAAGTCTTTGTAAAGTTAGATGTTTAAGAATTGGTCTGATACGGCAGTTTAAGATGTTTCTGTTTATATGCATGAAAATAAAATCTCTTGGAAGTCTATTAACAGACTTCTTGGCTGTGGTTAATTATAGCAGCATGTTTTTTATTAGTGCAGCAGGCAAACAAAGTAAACAAAAAAATTGAGTGATATTTAGAAGGGACCACTGAAGGCTTGTCTTGTCCAGCCTCCTCCTTGAAGTAGCATTATAAAATCACATTACCTCTGTCTTTATCTAGCCAAATCTGAAAAAAGTCAAGGTTGGAGATTTCCCAACATCTTTGGTTAAACCTGATTCAGTTACTTTCTTCTGGTCCTTTAAATCATAGGATAACTGATTGAGGGCTGTATTACTTTTTTTTTCCTAATGTCCAGACTGAATTACCAAGCCACAACCTGTGGCCTCTCATGTTACATTGTTTGGATGTTTTATCTTCTGACAGTTTTGTAACTGTCTTTCAAGTAGTTGTAGGCTGCTATTAAAATTACCCATTAGCATCCTTCCCATGAAACTGAAAAAGTCCAGCTCCACTGACTTCTCCTTGTGGCTTATATACTCACTAGGCCCCCAACCATCTCCACATCTCAACATCTTTCTAGAACTGAGTGGATCCAGCCCTGTATGCAGTATTTTAGATAACAGAACAAGAATACTGAGTTCAGGATGATAATCTTATTGATATGCTGACCATACTCCTGCTTGTGTAATCCCATATGAGGCTTGTCTGATTAATAGTAAGAGCATGTTTGTTGGCTCATATTCAGCTAGGTGTTTGCAGTACCCCTGGCTGCTCACCCAACTATTAGTCTTGCCTGTGGGGTTAGTCTGAACTGAAACAGTGGTATTTTATATTTCAGTTACTCTCCCCAGTTGAATTTTATTAACTGTTGAATGTTATTTCCACTGTAGTGGAAATTAAGAAATTATCACGGTCTTGTCATGAACAGTTTTTTTAAATTTGTAATCAAGAACAAAAAAAATTCAAGAAGCAAAATTATATAAAATGAAGTTTTGTACAGTTTCAGCATTTGAATTGCTGTAGCTTTGGTTAAAAAAATATACTTTTTTTAAAAATCTTTTTCCTGTCATTTCATACCCTGTTGCATACCACTATTAAAGCAAATGAATGGCAACTTGTTCAAGAAACAGACTGTTTTATAAAAATTATGAGAACTTAATTATGTTGTGTGACACTGTAATAGTTGAGCACTGTGCTGTTGCTTGGGATTTGCCATTTGAAGTAAATATTTTCAACTTCCGTTTGAATTTTGAAAGTGGTATTTAGCTGACATAACTCTTTTCTTGAATACAGCAATGTGATAAAAACAATCTCCTGGCAATTTTTAATTTCAATTTTATGTATTTTAATATGTATTTATGCATTTCTGAACAAACTAGGAAATGTCTGATTTAAATAAGTATAGCCCACCTCCTCAGTCATCAGATCTCTACATGGCAGCTAGCAAGCACTACCAGCAAGCTAAAATGATTCTTGAGAATATTCCGAATCCAGACAATGAGGTAAGACTGAAATAATAGGAAAATGAGTATTTGCTCAAAATAGTGGTCTTTTTTTAGCTGGATCTCCTTGAGATCCAAAATGTACTTCATCAAAATGCTGAGTAGAGTGCTTTGATTAAGGAGGAGACAGTGGAGAGTGGTGGCATCTTGCACAGTCGTCTGTTTCAGTATATCAGCTAGCATAAAGTTGTGCTCACTGTTAAAAAAAAGCTCTCTCTGCTGAGGACCTGAGATGCTGGATAGCAGCTTATTTCCTTGCATGTTGCCTTCTAGCCCCTTTCTAAAAGCACAGCACTTTTAACCAGACAGTGATAACATGCCTGTCACGCTTAGTTGGCATCTAGTAATTCAGATGGACTCCTGAGAGGTGGAGAAAGTAGGTTTGAGTATCATTAGGATGAAGAGGATTCAGTTTGGCACTTGTTCCCTGGAGCCGTTTTCTCAGCGCTGAGCTGAAAACATGGGTAGGAATTTCTCCCTCTTTGTCCACAGTCCAAATCCTTAAGTGTCTCTGACTATATTTTGGAGCAAGGAGGATGCTTTTTTTGTCACATTAAGCCAATTAAGAATAGTTTCAGGATTAGGTCCTCCTGAGAATTTAGGACTCACTTTCTCCTCTCTGGATCATGGTGGTACTACATAAGAGCTATCTATTTGAGGCCAAGATAGTTAAGTTTTGAGCGCATTCAGAACACTTCCATACAAAAAGCCACCAGTTTCATACATGAGATCCTCTTACCGTTGTGTTGTAAAGTTGAAGATTAGATGCCTAGAGTTTATCTATACCCTTATTTGTGTGAGTGCCACAGAATTTGCCGAAGTTCCCATGTTTTTGTTCAAGAATTATTAAAGCTGTGGTTTCTGTGGCCTGTTGAATTTTTAAAAAAATAACTATTAAAATAAATGCATCCTTCATTAAATTTAAACCATTCAGCTGTTGTATTTAAAACCAAATCGAAAACAGTCTGATGTCTGTTACACTGATCCTGTAAGAGAACTGCTGTATTGCTAATAGTATGTCAACATGACAGTATTATCTTTTAAATAACTGTGAGGTCAAATGCTTTGACTTGAAGACTTCTGTTTTATGTTTAGGTCAATCGAATTCTAAAAGTTGCAAAACCCAATATTGTGGTCATGAAACTGCTGGCAGGAGGCCACAAGAAAGACTCTAAGGTAAGGAAGTGCTAGCTCAATTGAACATAGAATGCAATAATACATACATTAAGGTTGTATATGGTTCATCTAATTCTATGTAAAGCCACCACAGATTTCTTAAGAGCCAAATGAGCATATTCAAGCTGTAGTTACTCTAAGAACAGGGCAAGTAACTCAATTTATTTTTCCCCTGGAAATAGTTTGTTGTAGTTAACTAAATATAGAGAAGTCTAACCTATAAATAAATGTTTTGAGAAAAAAAATTGGGAAATACATATTGGACAATATAGACTATAAGGGTATTCTTCAATAGCAAGAACAAGCAAGTGAAACAGCAGCTTGTGTGAACAAAGTCATGAGAGTGCTGGCTGCCACAATGACTATGTTTTTTCAACCTGTTGCTGTTTAGTTTTTTTTCTGTGTGCAGGTTGTTTTCATAATGAGTATTAAGTGCAGTAGTACTGCTATCTAATATCTGATCTTAAATCTTTTCTTCATAGGTTCCTCCAGAATTTGACTTCTCTCCTCACAAATACTTCCCAGTTGTGAAGCTTGTTTGAAGTACAAGAGATTTTCTTAGGATACTCGAAGAATATCTGTGTAGCAGATACCAGCTCTAGGAGAGGGAATAACTAGTGCTGCACTCGGACTATGAGGGCCGTTCAGGATAAAAGTACTGTCACACGAAGTATCTGTATCCTGCTGCCTTTATGTGATTTGAATGACAACTGCTGATTTTAAGTGGTTTGTATAAAGTTTATTGGATTTTATGTGTGAAGCTGATTTTAATCAATTCTATTACTAACAAACGGTGTATCTTAGTTCATATTATTACAGATTTTAATCAAATAATTTTTACTACTGTGTTCTGACTAAGTGGGGACTGAATAAAAATCATTGCAATAGAGCCTCATGTCTGATGATGTGCACAGCTAAGCTGATGCAATTCTGCATTTAACAAAGTCACTTGGAGAAATTTTGAATTTCTGTATTTTTGTTTAATTGCATCAGAGTTGCTCAGTTCGTAAGTAGAGAAATGCTGGGGTTTTTTTCTCACCACATCCTCCAAGCTAAAAGGATCTTTATAGATATCAAGAGCAGATGAAAATTAGTCATTGAACTATTGAGTGAGTGATTCCTAGTTGGAATTGTTCCTTTGTCTTTGTTCTCCAAATGCTGGAGAATCTGCACAGCAGACACTCCCAATAGTCACTAGCAATAGCACCAGACACTGAGGCCTCTATTTTACCAACTCTGCAACTTGGTACCAATCTTAAATGTTTGCTCCTGCAAACAAGGAATTGCTACTTTTGCATGATCTTTAGTCTCCATTTTTTACTGCAATGGGGCTGCTGCATCCTATTGTCTTCTGTAGTAATTTTCAGGTAGATTACCAAAACAGGAGAAGCTCCAAACCTATCCCTGCCTTCCTGGAACAGTTATGCCTTCCAAGCTTTCAGATGTGAAATAGAGGTAAGCTGTTGTGTTATAGCAAAAGAGCAAGCAAGGAAAAAATGTACAAAAAGCAGACCTGCCCTGGCCAAGTCATACCTAGGCCATACAAGCAAATCCTTTGTTGGACATGGCAATTCTTCATTTTGGTGTACAGTGACTTCCACTGTAGGGATGAGCTTGTAACTCCATATTGACCTAATGAGATGGAGTCAAAATTTAACAGGGTAGAAATCCATTTAGATTTAAGTAAAATGTGTCACTTTAAGCTTACTAACATAAGTGAAATATGTTGTTTAGTCTAGTAACTCTAGCACTAACAAAGTTGTCGCAGCTAAGGAAAAAATGCAAATTTCCACACTAAAAAGAGCTAAGAAAGACTCCTCAGACCTTGAAACAGACAGGGCAGAGTAACCCAAGACTTCTTTCTGTATTTTCTGACAAAAACTAAGTACAAGTGTAACTAGCTGTAAGTGTAACATGAAATCAGCATAATGAATATGCATAGACCTATTGTGAAATTCTATGCATACAGAAATTAGTAAAAGTAATAAAAAAGGATTGGGAGTTCTCAGAGGTGCACATATGCTTTGAAAGAAAATCCCTGCTGCGTGAGAAATCCCAGTGTGCGTCCAGCGCTACAATAAACATACTGCCCCTACAAATTTATATTAGAATTGTGGAGTTTTGATTTTTCTTCTGTGTTTCACTATAAGGCATTTTTTGGTGTTAGTCCTATCACCTGATTTTATTGTGGATTAATATCACTTCAGCTTCATCCCCTGAGCAGCAGCACTCCCGAGCTAGAGCTTGAAAACCATGGGTAACCCCTGAAGTAGAACACTCACTTGTCTTCTAGCAATTTGCAGCTTCCTGAAATAAGCAGAAGTACTGTCCTGAAGACATTTTTTTTCCAAATTTTCTGCTAAAGAGATGGCATATCACATTACATGTTTGCTTATCATCATGATCAATATACTTGAATGCTTCTATATAGCTGCCAAAGAAATAAAAAACCTGGAATATGTAGAGGTAAAATGGCACAGAGCATTCATCTGGCTTCCTGTAAAGTCACAAAATCTTTCCCATCTTAAAAATCCTGAACTACATGACAGTAGCTCAAGGACAGCCTTTTTTATTTCTTCAAAGCAAGCAGCAAGTAAAAGAGAAAGTAAATTACATGTGATTTGCAGAACCAAGAAAATATTATTATTTCCCCTTTTCATTACAATTAGAACTGGATGAGTTGTACAAAATAACATCAGCACACTAGAGATTCTTCTAAATACTTTTACTTTTAAATGCTTACCTAAAATGGATCAAGTTTAGTTGTAAAGAAAACCAAACCAAAGTGCTAATATAACACCAAGATAATTAGAGAAAACTAGTAATGCCTCACACAACTAAAAAAATTAGTGAGAGACAACACTATGTATGCCACAGTTCCAGATAAATCTCTTGTTCAACTAAAGGTCTTTACATTCTAAAATTCTGTACACTAAACGTACAGGCTTCTTGTATACTAGAAATCTACCACCCAAGTTAGATTGAAGCACTGGAAGTCATTGGGAATAAAACTGTAGTCCTTCATTTTGAACATTGCTCTTTTGCATGTTTTTGGACCCTTTGCCCTCAGAGGTTTACAAGTGTGCTTTGTACAGAGGTGGTCATATCTATGGAGGACAGCATCCAGTTGGCAAACAGAAGTGTAGCCAAAACAATTAGTTTTAAAATAATCCTCTGGAAATATATTAATTACCCTTAAGTGCTTGATTCTTTGGAATTTTTAACTTGATACTGGTAAAGCTATTCATTCAACCTGAATATAGTGTTTCACTGTCTGTTTTTTACTGTTAGAATACATGCTTTTTAGCAATCAATATTCAATTCCTAATCAACTTAAATCTCAGCTGCATAATTGTTTACTGATTAAGTCCTAGGAAAATGCTTAGAAGATGGGCATTTTAATCCAAATTATGGATAAGTATTTTTAGTATTTTTATCCAAATTATAGGTAAACACTTTGATGTTGAAACATGTCATTATTTGCAAAAAAAGTCCCAATAACCTGAGTTTCCCAATACTTGTTAGAACAGATGCTCATTCCTCTTCCCTCCTGTTTACAAGCATGTTTTCCCTGCTGTGTTGACTGTAGTAGCCCAGGCCAGTTAGTTCTTACTTAAATGGTGAAAAACTCTTAGTGAACTGTTTCTGTGTTTAGGCTTAAAAGACATCTTTTGACTTAAACTCTGACCTTCACTTGATGAAAACTAATACCCTTTTCATACGCAAAAGAGCCAGCCTTATCTTACAGTACAGGAGCTCTTAAGTAGTACACTGAAGAACAACACACCAGAAAAGGAGTTACAAAGTGAAGTGCTTTAACAGAAAGCAAAGACAAATTTGTGTTTTCTTAAGTGGAATGCTGGTTGGCAAGTTAATCACAGCTGTCTGACTGCTATGTTGTTGCAACAGAGGTTGGTTCATACTCACAAACAATGCTCCAAACATGGGTGTTGGGTCTTGGGACCAGAGACACAAATGTAAACATTTCTTCAAAACAGCAGGCTATACATGGTGGCTGGACTGCAGGTAAGGGTGCCTTTGTGTAATCAGAGGGTATTTCTAGCTCACAGGAAGTAAAATAGTTTTTAGTTTACATTTAACAAGTTACGGGAAAGACTGCAGATGGATTAGCAAGATGATACATTGTGATTAACACAGCTTCACCTGTAGAAGACACGTCCTTGTCTTCTAAATGCATAGTCTGGTTACCTCTTCAGATGAGACTGCTGTTGTACAAGGCAAGCATTTGCATTCCTCTGTTTTTGCAAAAGACAGGAGCTGGGTGACATAAAGGATAGTTGTAGTACAGCATTTCAGAAATCTGCTGAAGTTTATGAATTTGAATTTTTACACTAAACTCGTGCCAGGTAGTGGTAACCAAAACACACTGTAGTACTGACCTTGTGGAATCCAACAAAGCTTTCAGAAAAATCTTCCTGGCTAATCTCTTAGCAAGAAGCTTCTATTGTCAGAATCCTTTTTGGGTTTGTTTTTTTTTTAACTTTGAAACTAAGAACACATCTCAACAGTGTAATCTAGGAGTTTAATTTAGAGGCCCAGGTACATATATCATTCTGCATAGTATCTGAGACTAGTTGTGCTTTCTCAGTCTGTGCTGCAGTAAAAAAGTGCCAGAACAGACACAAGGGTAGACTGCAGCATGGACTGGTTTTCATCCTTTGTTTTGTTACAGTAACACAGCCCCTTCTTAAATTCTTAAAACTGAGCTGGGGATTTCTCTACTACGCATTGCTCAGCAGAGATCCATCCTTGGCAGAGGACTGCCACTAATCCACACATGTGCTTACTGCAGTATGATATACAAGGTAGCCAACTTCAAAGTTACTAACTTCATTGCTACCTGACTGCAATTTTGTAATTTATAGGAAGGAGAAAGTCATTGCAGAGGCCAAACTGCTTTGAAACAGGCCTCCAGAGATTTACCGCTTTTCCTCACTGCAACAGTACTAAAACTTCACAAGAAAATACTACTTAATTTGTGCCCTTAGTCAAGCCTTTAGAAGATAATCAAAACCTTCTAAGATCACTTTGCTTGGATCATTATTGCATTTGGAGGAAGAGGTGACTCAGTTGTATCATGAACTTCCTTTGTTCACAACTTCTGTCGTCCTTCACTGTTGTCAGGTAAGTGGTTCTGCATATCTTCATGGTTTTGAACTAAAGAGGGGAAAAAAAGGAAGTGGTATAGAAATCTCTTTTAAGAGGCAGAAGTTCTTAATATATAATGTTCTATCTAGAAACCAACAAGAAATTTTGTAAGGATTCTTAAATACTATGTAGTACAAGTAAAGTTATAGATACCACACCCCCCATTAATGAGTAGGTTCAGTGGTGCTAAACAGAAAATAGGTCACACTATAAACATGAAGGAAAGTTCAAAAAACAAACAGAAATCAGCTAGGAACCATACAAAATATGATCTTAACATTTTAAGCATGTGATATTTAGGTTAAAACTGGCTTTTTTTCTTTTTTACCATTTTCAATCCCAGCAAGTGCTGCTTGCTTGTCAGTTTCTGATTCAGCTTCATTCACATCTAAATTGTAATCGACATCCTTGTCCTGGTTCACTGCTTCACGTTCCTGTTTGTCTGGAAGATTAAGTCATTTTATGCTATACCATCTGCACACAAGAAGAGTGACTGTAAACATCTTCCACAGAATTATGTTGCTGCTGAATGAACTACTTTTCTGAATAGGTTTTTGTACTATTTTTCCTTTGAAGTGTTAGTTTTTAGAGCAACTTTGGCTGTAAATCGTGTCAGAACTAGATAAAAGACAATCTTCTGGGATTTGGAAAGCACAGCAAAATCAGCTAGCACTCTGATAAATATAAAGAGCATTACACAATTTCAGAATACATTAAAGGACAGCCTAAGGGAGGGCAAAACCTGAAGTAATTGCTGAAAACCCCTTCTTGTTTTAGCTTTTCCAGCAAGCGGAATGGTATACCTATAGCGTAAAGTGTTTTATGACATGCCAAGTTGTCACAAAAGTACTTCTCTCCTAGAAGATTTTCTTTACCCAGTTACTAACTCCTCTCAAGCAACATTTATTGACTATCAGATTTCGTTAGATAGAGGACTCAGACATAAATGGAAACATTTCTGATTGCCAAACTAGTATCATCATTTTTCAAATAATCAACCAGAAAAAAAGGTAACAGCAGAGAGGTGTAAGCAAACCTCACTTAAGATGGATCACATTCTCTGTTCTAAATGTTCTTAATACAAACCTTCTAGTTAATAAGTGGCCAAGAAAGAGGCTCGAAAATTTCAAGCCTTATGTCATTCATGTTCAGACCACCACATGCAATCGATTTTTTTTAGTTATGGACCTAAAGGTCTAATTTCAGAAGCAGTTCTTCTTGAAAGAGAATGCCCATAGACTACCAAAGAAGTATGTCTACCTTAAGATCTTTTGGCTACAAGGAACCTGTGCAGTAAAGTTGAACAATAAAGCCTGAAGAACATCCTCCCAAGCCTTTTTAGCTCACAGAAATGCAGACCTTTGAAACTGAGATTTCAAGAGCTGCATGGCAGATATCTTTCCTTGCCCTAATTGTTGGATGATTTTTTTCAATCTCAATCTTTCTGCTATTTACTTCCATTAAATTGAAAACAGTTCAGATAACTTGTAATTACATCCCTTTGGAGTATAGCCTGCTCTGGTCAGCATCTTTTTGGACCAGTTAGAAAAACATCGCTTTAGCAATGCAGATGAGATTATTTATCCCTGTCAAGTTAGCAGCAATATTAACACTGAAACTTAAAATTCTAAGGATGTGTTTTCTAGAAAAGTATAAACAACATTTTTGTGGGCATCATTTCCTGCTCTGACTGCCATAAGGCTTCTTTTTGATTACTTTGGGTACTGAGTCCAAATCCCTTAAGACAGAGGAACATTTAGACATTGGTCAAGCAAAAGCATCAATACTCTGCTGCTTGGTGCTGTTCGGATGTATAGCTCAGGGACACTTGATGGCACCTATCCATGTTTTCCACCATGTTTTCCATCTAAACATCTGATCCATGTTTTTCAAGACTCACAACAGTAAACTTCAGATACCTGAAGTCTGAGTTACCAGTTTTACTCATGGCAGCTTATTTTGAAATAGGAATAACTAGTATTCACACACTGACATTGTAAAAAGACTAACTACAAAATGATGAACATCTCATTCTTTTCAGATGCACCATATTCTTTTAAAGCCCCAGTAACAAAATGTTTTGGGGTGAATTTCCCTAAACACTTTGGAGCCAATGAAAAGACAGTAGGACTGTTATGGTGATGCAGAGGAACACAGCCTTGCAGCTTCATGTTGCACAATCAGAAGCCTCCATCTTTAACTCATGGATTGTAAGTGACTGCTTGGGACACCTTCCACATCACACTGACCTTAAGAACTTAGTAAGTCTGGCCAGCTTCTACCACTGTTCTAGAAGTCATGCCCTATTCCACCCTTTCCTTTCTTTACTTTTCATTTTGTTACTGTTTTGAACAATACATGACATGCTACAAACCAGCCTTTCCAGGGGACAAGTCATCCTGCTTATCATTGTAATTTAGGAACTGTTCCCTCTCAGCTTCCTCACTGGCAGCCTGCTCTGCTGCTGGCTCTGACATATCTTGCCCAGCTACATGTTTCTCATCCTCAGGTGGATTTGGCTCCTTCTCTGACACAGGGTGCATCTCCTTGTGACCTGCAGCAGCCTTGAGCGACTCTTGAGGATTTTCCAACTGACTAGAAAGCTGCTCCTCTTCTGCCTTAGGTTCCTGGTCTCTGATGTCAGTTAGGCTGTCTGTTCTTTCTGAAAACAACAAAAATTATTCTGAGTTTAAAAAATAATGCCTTCCAGTGTGGCACAAGTTAAAAGCTTTTAATAAATAATGCTTTATATTTCTTGCTAAAGTATTGGTTTTCCTCTGAAAGAATTTCTTCCAATCACACCAGTACCAGAGATAAGAATAATACAAATTGTATTTTTCCTACTAGAAACAGCTAAAGAAGGGAATTTTATTTACTGTCAACAGATTCATGCTTCTATATCCTTAAAATTTTGGTATGTGTGGTTAATAAATTGGGCAAGTGAACCAGAGCAGTTTAAATAAAAATTGTGGTGTCCTATATAAGCATCAGGGTTCTGTGTGTTACATCTTTTTATGAACAATAAAATTGATTTGGTGTTCAAAAGTAGCCCAGGACAAAGCATCACACTGGCAGATTTGCAAGTATCCAAGCCTGTACTTGTTTAAGAGTACAAGTGCTATAATATTTAGTTGGTATTAACATATATCTGTCCTCACATAACTTCATTTTTAATTTAAAACATAATTTAAAAATTAATTTAAATTTAAAATTGAATTTTCTCAATTAAGCTATATATAGACACTGTCTTCAACTGCTAGCTCTCTAAAATGAGTTGCATGTTTACAAGATTGTAATTAAAGATAGCATATAACAGTAATTAAATTTAAGAATAGAATTTCTATCACACACACCACTGTGCAAAACAGACACACAAGGATAAGTCCATTCAAATTAATAGTTTCTGAAGTTTAGTGCCAAAAAGAACCCTTAGGCTAACTTACCTAAACCCATGTGTATCATTTCTCACACTTGTATTTTGCTCAATGACAACACATGGGAAGTATGGATGTGTGTTTTTTCTAAGCCTAACTTTCAGCTATTCCACACAGAGGAAGGGTTCCAGGCTGAATATATCCAACTTACTAAGAAAGCAAATTTTAAGTATGCTTGAAAATTATTCCTTCCAAAAGTTGGGTATTTTCTCCATATTAAATAAGGAAGTTGACTCCAGAATTGTAAATATTTCTATTTTCTCTTGTGTGCAATATACCTACTACAACAAAACTGAACCAACAAATCCAAGCAAGTTTTCCTTCAGTTGGAAACCTGATTGATATTCAGACTGTTGGTGTCACTTTTTTAATTCTTATCTGGTGTACAAAAATGTTTCTAAATGTTCCATTAAAAAACAACTGTTCTTAACCAGTTGTTAGTGAGATAAGGATTTCCATCTCACCTTTAGCCTGCATCAGGTCTGTCTTTCTTACTGTAGGTACTGCTTTAGGAACATCTTCACTGGTTTTCTGCTGTTCCAAGTCAGCCTGCTGGAACCCTGTTTGCTTCAAAGCTGGTAGTTGAGTATCAACCTATAAAGTGAATGTAGTAGATAAACACTGGTCTATATAACTGCACCTGGATTTGGAAAGGGAAGTAGAATTTAGGTAAGAATTCTGCATGGGAAAATATCCCAAAACACTCAGAAATATTTGGACTAAATATTTATTTGTGATAGATGGTACTGTACAATTCTGAATATGTAGTAATGTTTCTGTGTAACAGCATAGCACATCAGGAGATTTTTAACATACCTTATTTAACTGCAGCTAATGATGAGATTATGGTCCTTGGTTATTCTCAGAGTGTTACAGAACACACATATAACACCACACATTTATCCACTGTTGTGCTACTGTGTCAGGATGAGTAGAGCAAATAAACAGATGCCATTTACTAGTCAAGGAAACTGAATCTGGTCATCATTAGACTTTAGCTGAGTAAGGCTTGCATAGAACTGGTCTGTAACTGTATTAAATGCAGGATTAAGAAAAGCGTAAATCAACCTACTCTAGAAAATAATACCTGTTTAACATGACAGAGCTTATTTAAGAATATACTAAATACTGGTGCTAGACTGCTATAAGCATCTGACCCACTAAGATATTAAGCCTAAGATGTACACTGTCATGAAGATCTTCCAATTGGGCAATTAAAATTTTATATATGACTTTTACTTACATTGGCATTGGCTCCCTCACATGGCCATGGTCTCCCTGTATATCAGAGTTGGCATGTTTGCCTACCTGAGGTCCCCTTCCATCTCCTCCCCATCTCTGTATCTAGTGGCTGGCAGTCCTGTGCTTGGTGCTGTCCTGGTCAGTGAATCCCCTTATCTATACCATGGGGAACAGGGAGCTCAGGAATGACCTGCCACCACCTCTCCATAAATTACTCCCAGACTATATGAATTGAGTATTTGGGTGTGCAGGTTTGTACCGTACCTCTTGCAAGACACAGGACTCACCTTATGATTCACCATTAATTCTAGGTGAAAATTAAAGATGGTCAGTGAACTGAGGGATATACCCAGGGGCTTTCACACAGGTGAAATTAAGAAACCCATATTCTAGGGAGGGGAATCTGGAGCTGCCTGTAGAGAATGTGATTCTCCAGCTACAGCATGTTTCTGGAGTTGAGATGAGGTAGAAGAGGTTTGAAAAGATGAGGTGGCCATGCTTCCCGTAGCATGGCGCTATGGTTCATATGGTATGCCTTGTAGCACTCAGGCTCTTCTCTTCATGGTCATTGCTCGAGCAGTAACGACCCTGCTTGCCCTGATAGATGGAGTTATTCTTTCCCTCCTGTCACCTTAGAAACACTAAATGAGGGTGCAAAGCCAGGGCCAGTGGGGAAAGAGCAGAGCTGAGCTGTTTGTGGATGAATTTATGAGAATGATCAAAGATAAAGACTTGAGAGGAAAAAGAAGGGGAAAAAACCCAAAAAAATAAGCTCAGATATGGGATTACCTGCCTGGCAGCCCTGCATCAGGGACTTCAATGGGACAAAGAAGCTGTTGGCTCCAAATAAATGTCTGCTTACTTCCAAGGTCCCTGGAAACCAGAATGCTCTCCCAGTTATCATCAACTCACTGCATTACCATCACTGCTCTCCAGAACCACCCCAAAGGAGGTAGTTATATCAAGGTGGGGTCAGCTTCTCCCAGGTAATAACAGACAGGACAATGGGAAATGGCCCCAAGTTGCACCAGAAGAGTGCAACAGTAGATTGGATATCTGTTACCAATTGTCATTGGTACTCTCAAGACTCTAGCTTCCCATTTATCTAAGGAGGGCAGTAAAATACTATGTTGTCAAATGTTCATTCAGTCTTTTGGAAAAATGACTACAGAAAGAAGTAACTAAGTCATCAAGAAGCCGGAGTTGCAGCATGACTACTTGGCTGTATTGAAAAGCATTTAATTTCCATCAAAGCCAGACAGAACATCTTTTCATATCAGCACCATGAAGCCCAGTATCAGCAACTAATCTAGCATTAAATCTTACAAACGCTTGATAAGCAAATGTTACTGCAGAATATTTGGTTATTGCAGTAAAGACATTCAGAAGAACTCCATCTTCCTTCAATCAATAAAACAAAAATGCTGTATTTAAACATGGTTCTGTTCTATAAATAATTCAGCTCCTTAAGATTACTCTCACAGTAGAAGAAACTGAACATCATCAGAAACTGAACATAAGACCATTTTTCACTTTTTATTGGGCATGAATTCTTCTGCAAAAATACTGAGCCTGGACTTAAAAGCAAGAAGTTACCTCTTAATTATACATGCAAAATCCTTTTATTTACCTTAAATTTCTAGCTAAGTAATTCTTAATGTCAAATAGATTCAAAGGGGATATGCTGATTTTTAAAAATAATTAAGTGGCTGGATAAAAATATAGTAATTTAACGTATTTTCTTCAGCCAAGAAGTATACAGTATTCTCCAAATTACAGAGTCCTAAGTAAAGCTGTTTAGTTATTAACCAACCAACACTTCATTTTCTTTTAGTTTTAAGACAGACTTTTCTATTACATAAGCACATAGATGTTAAAAATAGGAATTACTCCAGCTTAAAACACTGGACAAAAACATACATAGATCTGTCAGGGTAATCTTGCACTAAGTATGCTTTTATAAAAGCAAAAGGCTGAAATTCTTGGGCAAGCAAACAACCGAGAAAGTTACAACTTGGCCAAAGAAACACTGACACAGATACTAGGGAACATAGACAGAAATTATTTAGTCAGTAGCTATATTACCCGTTAGCTCCTCTGAGATCACCCCATTTATATATAAAAGGATAAGAGATAACCTGCCCTGCCTTACAGATAATCTGCTTTGAGTGAAGATTGCCTCCAGCTATGCACTTTTGTGCAGGAGACTGAAATTGTCCTGCAGAAGGGCTTCAGTCAAACTCCTCAGGTTCCTTCTCAGATAATTTACCTTCCAAACTGGAAATGGTAAAAAAAACCCCAAAAATGCAAAAACCAATCACATACATGCAAATAAACAAAGGAAAGGAATCTAGTGCAAGTAACTGTAGTTAAAACCTGTTGTAAGGCCACACTAAAATTAAGTTGACCACTTCTTTATTAGGGTCTTTCCTAGGTCAACTTTCTTAAACAAGATATATTTGACAAACTAACATCTCCAAATGTTGCAGGTTCTATTTACTTACAATGATGCATTTATTATTTACTTTTTATCTACTTATTTGATACAGTTGATAAAAACTATTGACAAGTGCTATAACTTTTATTTTAAAGCATAACTGGATAGCACTTCTTGTTTGTAAAGCTTCATTCATGTTGCAGCTGTCACATAGTGTGTGTTACCAGGATAAAAGGTAACTTCAGTACTACACTTCAGTAGTTCTGTCTCTCCTATTTTACATAAAGGACTGGACACAGACTGAAACCATTACCTATGGGAATCTCTGGACAGACTGTTTTAGCTGTTTTCTCACACGCTTTTTCACCTTTTGGTAAAACTAAGATTCATTCCTCAGTGCCTTACCCTTTCCACTTCTGAAGCCATCAAATTTAGCCTTGTCCCAGCCAAAGAGAAAAGGGTATATTCCACTAAATCTCCACTGCCTTTGTAAAATGGTACATTCCACTAAACCTCCACTGCCACTCAGGTAGAGGGAAAGGCTCCACTGCAGTCACAGTAAAAAATCTAACTTCTGAAACCTCTGTTTCTTCAATAATCCTGAAGAAAGGGCTATTTTGGTACAGAAATAAACTGTGTGCCTTCTCACCCAAGAGCCTGACTGCCTCTTTCCAGAGCCATTCATATCAAGTTTAAACAATCAAATCCCATTCCTGACCAAATCTCGCATCAATGAAGGAGCATCAATAAATTACATGCCAAGACAATAGGATGAACTGAAATTACCTTTTCTCAGGATTTTCTGCTACCCTCTGCACCCCAGGAGAAAAAGCCAGCTGACATACATCCAACAGATTTGCCAAGCCTGCCCCACCCTAGTGAGCATTCAATAGGTTCAGCAATGAATTTGTAATTCTTTGGCTCAGAATATCTGACATTTTATTAAGACATTTGATTATCCCTTCATTCCTATAGTAAAATTCAGACATAAAGGACTTCTGTGAAAATTCATAGCTGATGAACGTTGGACTACAATATTCAAGGTTTGATGCTTCTCTCAAGTAATTCACAATTCATCCTCATCCTTAACATAAAAAACAACTAAGTACTTTAATTAATAATACCTTTTGAGTTTGTTAAAGTTCAGTCATGTAAATACTCCTCAATGGATCCCACACCACTTTTGGCATCACCTCTCAAATCTGGTGCATCTCAGAGACACAGTGATTTGAAATCTCCTGCAGGATAGCTCCTTGTTCTGTCCTTGAAATCACCCCATTTCCCAGAGATCAGAAACATTCAACAAATACTGAAGTAGTGACAAATCTAATTAGATAGGGTAATGCTAATAGGAGGTAGCAGAAAGATGAAGAAACACCTAGGAATTACAAAAAAAGTATTTTCAAGAAATTATCCAAATCATACCTGGCTATCTTCTGTGAAGTCTTTGTTTTCTTTGATTTGTGATACATCACTACTCTTTTTTCTAAACTCATCTATCCTTTCTTCACATTGTTCTTTTAATTCTTTCATCTGGTTGATGCACTGTGACCTGGAAAAAACATGAACAAGACAATTAACTCTCATCTAAACTCTTCTATAATGTAGTTTTGTAAAATTATCTAATTTTTTTTCCTTCATTATATCTATTTTTTTCTTTGTCTTAATCCTACTACCTGGTTTTATATTTGATAAGTCACTAGGAAAAAATGAGGCATTGACCTAAGTCCTAAGGACAAATTCATAGTGCAGGCAAGTTCTATTGGAAGAAATTAATTTAAACTACTTTTGTCTGACCAGCTTAGCAAGCTACGTGATTTTTCCATTGTGTCTTTGTGTCATTCTGTTAAGTGCAGATAAGGTAAAATCAGGGTTTTTTTCAGTACGATCCAGAAATTCATATTTTGATTTTAGCCAGAAAACAGAAAAGTACCAGTTGAATAGAAAACAGATGTAATCTACCATTAGCAAACAGAATGCACTTCCTCAATATTTCAACAAAGTGCAATGCTGCAAGATGCAACAAAACATATGTTACAGAAATGGAGTTCACTAATAGATACTCTAAGTTCCGGAAGGAATATATCCTAAAGATACATGCACTGTAGATCTTTTACATACTTTTAATAGTTACACAGCACCATTAGGATCTCAGCCTTTGTGACAGCAGTGTTCTATCTGCATCCGTGCAGCCTGCCTTTTCCTCACAGCTCCCTAACTCCTAGGTAAGGTCTGCTGTTTGCAGCAGTGTTTTTCCTAAAGCTGCCAGGGCAGCGTTCTCCCCTTCTGTGCATGTGCTGGGGATCCTGTGGAAAGCCCAGGAGTTTTGTCAATCTGTTTCTCAGGGTAAGTGTGCAGTCAGGGCAAGATCATCTTTTCTCTGCCACTCTCTTCATAAGTTATTTTACAGCTTTCAGTTTATATCAGAGGAAGAACAAGACTAGTGAATAGCAAACCAAGATAAGCATTACCCCATAATATACACATCTTAGAAACTAGTCATCATATGACCCCAAGTATGCTCTGACCACACTATGAAGAACAGTTTGAGTGGATGCCAATGACAAGTGTTTTCACACTAGGGGAAAATACAGTGAAAAATCACTATCATTGTCAGTACCCTGGAGAGCCCGCCCAAGGAAGAGCAGGTTCCTGGCTGGGGAACACATTTTCTTTTCCACACTGGTCTAGCAACAAAGAAGTTTGATGGGCTTTTTTAACCCTTTTCTCCTTTCTCTCTCTCCTTTGTTTTTCCACTCAAAGGTAAGTTCCAGTTTATACATATCCAATCAGCTACAGACCTTGCAAACACATCCTTGTGCATTCAAAATCTTTTCCAGCAACCTCTGTACAACTGCATAGACAACATACTACAAGTTTATCATACCCATCACTAAGACTAAGAAGGGGGTTGAATTTCTCCTTATTCTGGCTCTGACCAAGTGTTATTCTGTCAATACCTTCCATGCAACAACAGCTGTTTCAGACAGGTATGCTACATTTTCTCAAGCTGAAAACAAACTACTACATAATCCAAAGGAGTTTCCAGGCTACGTGCACTCTACCACAGCAAGTGACTCATTTTTTTTGCACTTTCACCCTTCTCCAGTCCTGCCTTTCAAAAGTAAAAAATCTCTTCTGTAGTTCATACCTATAAAGGAAGAACAGTAGCAGACATATCTGTCTGCTAACTGACTTATTACCTTTATTATGTTTTCTTGTAGACCAGACATTATTCTGAAGTCTGATTTGACAATGCTACTACATGGAAGAGTCACCAAAATAAGCCGTGCTTTAAACATGTGAACATCAGAGACAGTAAAACAGCACAGGCTTGAGTTATACTCACATTCACTATTTTCTAAGAAATAAAAGGACATATTAATTGTGTAACAGTTTACAAGTTTCAAAAAGATGCAGTACACAGACAACCTGAAGTCAGAAACAGAGCATTTGAGAAAGCTTAGACTTTGATCCCATAATGCACATGAAAATAAAGTTCATTTAACATCTAGGACAACCCCTCGCCATTTTAAGCTTATTTTAAGCTTAATACTCTACTCATGTTTACAACAACTTCTAGAGTACAGGGACAGCCTTAGTTTCTCCACCTCATCCCATCACCATGACATTTCAAATGTGCAAAACTAATGTTCTTAAATTCAGTCTCTGTGGTACATTTTCTCCTTCACTACACAGCTTAATTCCATGACACAGAGCTCACTTGTGCACACACCAAGGAGTGCAAATAACACCCTCCCCAACTGCTCCAAGGCTCATCAAGGGAGCCACCAGCCCATCCAAGGATCATCTCCAAAAGCCTAAAGGAGCACAGAGGCACAAAGGTGGAGAAAAGCCCAAACTACAAATTTGTAAGGAGGGACAGCCCATCTAGACCAACACAAGAACATGTTTTGCACTAGCAGACACTCACTTTCAGGAGAATGTTGTGTGTGCTCATGCTTCATGTGCTCTGTGTTCTGCATACTCAGCCATGTACAGATGTGCTCTACATGCACAGGAACAGATGTGCAGCCTCTCCCTCTCCAGGCTGCTGGATTTGCATATTCTCAGCATGGGAAAACAGAGTACCTTTGTTCTCCAGAAGCATCTACCATCTTCCTTTCAACTCTACCAAAAGAGATTACTATTGCACTTGTCAGACCTGCAAATACCACACTAATTTTCCGATTTTTACACACAGTGAGATTTCTAAAGACGCAGTTATGTAACAAACAAAGCTCTTAGGAACAAAAATGGATTCGAATACTGGAATGTATTCAATAACAATTTCAAAAGATGAGTCCAGAAGCTTCTGTTTCCCTCTGGCTGCTGCAGAAGAGAAGGGTCAGTGTGCCAGTAAGCCTTTGCTGAAGAAGCTCTAACCATGACCAGACAGCACTGGGCACAGTGTACACCAAGGTTACATTGTGAAGTCAACTGCTGAGGAATGCACACTCCTTTTGCACACAACACCAGTAAGGCCAGATAGCTCCTGCTGACTTCTGCATGGAAAACACTAAGCTTATTCCAAAACAATGCTAAGATGAAACTTCAAGGCTCGGGTACAAGAGGAAACAATGATATTTTTTTTCTTCTAGATCACAGACTTTGTTCTTATGCATTGCATATGCACAACTGCTTTTACCACTGTCTTCTGCAGAATAGTAACAGAATGTTTAAAAAGAGTGATTTACAATGTGCCATTTGAAAAAGACTTTTGACTTCTGTCATCTTTTTATAACATTTTAATTCATTTTATACAAATTATATGGTCTATTTTGCACTGGGTATAGTATACTTGATACCTAAGATGCAAAACCTTCATCTATGCAAATCCAGGTAAAAGGAAGGAGCACATAATCAGGTCTAATGCCCCTTCCTGGCAAGACAGATGAACAGAGTGGCAACACAGTAATTTATTCCTATTTGGGAGGGGAGGAAGGAAGACAGATTAAAAATAACATTTGGAGTCTTTCTAATAATTCTTATTTTTCTAAGTCCACAATCACATTGGGGAAAGGCTGTTTGTAAGCATTTAAAGTGACAGTATTAAGTGAGCATATAGCAAAGAGGAATATATGTAGCCAAGCACCATCAAATATCCATTTCTGCAATTACCTAAACACAATATAATGTTAGTTGTGTAAATTAGTTTAGCAGAGAAATATTAACATTCCAAGATCCTCCCTAAAGGTACACAAGAAGCAATGTTTTAAAAATACATGTTCCTGCTAGAACTGTGTGAACACTGCACAGTACCAAAGCTATAGATTAATTTATGAAAATTTAAGTCCAAGTTTGTTTTTCTCACTTGTACTCTTAGGAAAAGAGTCTAGAAATAGAAAATGAACCTTTAAATATTTTGCAGCAAAGCTAATGAAGACAGTGCTGCTCCTTGGCTGAGATAACTGTCTTTACATGGAGGCTCTGCAGGAAATGGTGCACCTGCCTCAAGACCAACCACAAGGAGATCAGCTGAGTCCCAGTTCAACTACCACGTGGCTGATTTACCACACCTATCTCTACACTTAGCCTTATAAAAGTAAACCCATCTTTACCACTGTGTCATGCTTAGCTCTTCACCTTGAGCCAGTACAGACTTTGTTGTCTGACAACAACCTTCCTCTGTTAAACAAAGAGGGATTCTTTATGGTACCACAAGCAGGGGTGCTCTGTCAGGGATTTCCTCAACAGAACCATGCTTGTAAACACTTCACCAGACATGGCTGATAAACCTCTAAGTTTTCCTAAGCCAGACTAAATACATTTGTCATGTTTCACTTCCCTGCATGTGTATATCAAACCACTGCTTAACAGGTACACCTCTCATGTGGAGCATTACCGTCCAGCAGATAGATATATTTGTGCTATATACAGGTCTATTTGTTCCTGCTGATCTCACACTTAGAAGAAGACACTGGAAAACATATTCACCCATTAGTGCAGAACTATCAACAGAGTCTCTGGTCTGTCATTTAACTAAACAGCCAACAGACTGCTTAACAACCATGGTACACTACAAACACAGACGGGGAAAAGGCCACTTAACACACAAGAAACTCTTTTATTGAAAGGCAGGTACAAACTAAAGTTTCCAACTTCCTTCTACTTTTCTATTAGAAATCCTAAATTCTCCAATAATATAATATATCTAGGTCATTTTTATTACATGAGTAATAATCAAAAACAAAAGGTCAGAACGAACTTGTAATCAGGAAGTATCACTAACATTAATCTTTAATTCTAAGGTGGGAAAAAAAAGGCTGCTGAAAGAATACCTATCACTACAATAATTACATTCTTGATGGAACATAATTATGAGAACATGCAAACAGAAAATTCTATTGCTTTTTTATACCTATGCACAAGGGGAAGATACTACATATTGTGAAGGGAGGTAGAAGAAACAAGAATATTACTGAGCAGAAAGAAATGGGAAGAATAGAAATACCAGAAATGTGTATTTAGTGTAAGGATACTAAAAGTACTGTAAGTACTTTTGTTCAGTTATCCATGCTTTAAAATTCAGTGGGAAATCTCAAGAAAAAGCCATGACTAGGTATGTCATGCAAAGCAGAACACATGAGTCTGATGGTACAAGAAATTCCCAAGACCTCTGTCAGCTCAATAAGGTACATATTCTTCTCATCAGGTATTCCCCTATCTTAATTCAAACTTCACAGTTTACCCTCTTCATGTTTCAATTTCCCCCACACAATTCTTATGTGATAATATTGCTACCTTTATCCTCTTGCAATAGAAGGAACATCAAGAAGTGTCTGGGCACAGAGATAAAAAACGCTGGAAAGTTAATGCTCCTCTCCAAGATCAACTGTGAGCAATTTTAGGTGAGTCAGATGTTACCTTCTCTTTAAAAATGTGTATTTACTAACAGAGCTAACACAAGGGTTATAACCAAGTCACCTATTTGGGAAATCATCTTTCCTAAAGAACATACTTACAGATCATATGAGAACTTCCTCTGAAGGTTAGTCTGATTCTTCTGAAACCAGTAAACATCCAGCTGTAGCTTTCCATACTCCGTCTGTAACTCTTTCAAGTGTTCTGGTCAAAGCAGGATTAAAATACAGATATATGTACAGATTCTAAACCAGAAACATCAAGAAACAAATCTATAACAACAATGCTAAATTAATTCATCTGTCATGCAAACTGCATTTCATACACAAATGCATATATAATTGTTGAATTTATTCAACAAGGGTGCATGGGATCTGGTAAGAATAACCTCTCAGCATAATATATTGGCAAAACAGTATAATACATATTTTTACCTACTTTTCCTCCTATAGAATACACAGAACTGATTTGCAAACCCTGCTAGGTTGCAGTCTGGAAAATCTTTATGTCTGTGAAATCATAATCAGAACACAATATGAAATAGCATTCACATTTATCAGTCATATACAGACAAGCTTGGAACACTTCCCTGAATAATATGCAATTTATACCCACGTTTCTTAGCAACAGAGGCATTTATGATTTAGTTTTATTTCTGAGAGAAACCTCTGTGGGAGGGCACCAGAAGACAATACCACGACATACTTACTTCTTTATAGGATTCATTCCCAAGTACCTTCAGAATACATTACTAACAATTTTGAAACACTAACATGAATAGTAATTAATTAGACTTACTTTTTTTATTTAATATAGGATTTGTGAACTACTCTGGTGCTAAAATGCATAACCCCACGCCTCAGGGAAGAATGTGAGAGTATGTTGCCAGGTAAAATGAAGAAAAAATGTATTAACTTAGTTCTATTCATATTATATCAAGAGTACTACATCAAGCACAACATGGACAAATCCTCCTACTATTGAGGCAGATTAGTCTGACACTTAACTGGAGCTATGCAGATGAGGTATCTAAGTCATGGCAGCTCATGTAACTGCTGACTTGAAGAAAGGCAGCATTCTCAAAAGGCGGCAGAAAAATTCAAGTCATAAAAACAGGGGCCTAAAAATCAATACAAGAGAGTCACAGAGGTACCAAAACATACCTCGTAAACTCTGAATCAATCGATCATTTACAGTGATGTTACTCATCAGCATTGCCTGAAAGAAGCAGAACAAAGTGTTTTAATTGCAAAGGACCTGCATTACCATTATAAACAACACCTATCAAAGCACTTGTAACACGATCTACTTTTTGTGTGTCACAGTTGTGACAGTGTCACAGTTGAACAACACCTTTTAGCTGCTTTAGAGATCTCCTATTGACAACAACAAATACTTATTTTAACCCAGATTTTCCAGTATAGGAGAGTGGGGAAAGATATGAAAATATGAAGAATTTAAAGGAATTTATAGATACTAAAATTGGCTGTCACTTTATTCTAACTGCATCTCACAACTGGAGTCAGACTTGCTGTATTTATCTCTCTTAAAGGAAGAATACAACATCACAGCTCACTATCAACTACCTTCTCACTCAGGAATCAATGCACCTGCATTCAGGCATGCAAAGATGAGCTACAGAAGCATTAATCATTCAGTATAAAGCAACTCCATGAAGGCAATGTGAAAACCTTGCATTGTATCCCTTTTCTACCTATCTTCTTGATTGCTTTCATGTTGGAGTGGCCTTCTTCCACTCCTTTGTTATCCCATAAGAATAAAGAAGAATGTAACACATTTTATCGATTCTTTAATCAATCTCCATCTACCATTTCATATACACACATTTTCAGAACTCCTGAAAACTGCATCAAGTCACAGCTAAGTAAAATTATTCTTTTGAGACAGATGTCGGGATAACTCCTGACATAAATTTAGCAAGTCTGATGCAGAAAAGTTCTTAAGAATACAAAAAAGACATCCACTGACTCTTCAGAAATTATCCAGTCCAATCTTAGGAAGCTATTTCTCAGGTTTCATTGTCAGTTCCCTTATTATCCTTGTCCTGGGAAACTTCAGGGTTCTTCAAGGGTCCCAGAAAATCAACTCCCCTGTTTCCCAAAGTTTATGTTCTAGTACTGTTGTGTGTGTATGTCCACACCCAAAAAAGAAACAGCATCCACTCTGTCTGCCCAAGTCACCCTGAAACACTGACAGCATTGTTGTTGTTGTTCCCAAGACTACAGTAATAAGGGCCAGCTGATTATGTGAGTGTAGTGTTCAATAAATCTGAGCAGAATAGCACCCGGCGAAGTAGTAATTTGTCTTTGAATGACCATTTAAAAGAGTCATACTTCACAGAAGTGGTTGTTCAGCTGTTGCTAAGTCTTTCTACACCATTCTATATGTACAGCTGTTTTCTGAACACCACTGTGAAACCTCGCGAAAAGAACTCATCATGCTCAAGTAAAAAGAAACTCAAAAAACAGTAACAACTTATATGTAAGATTGTTTAACATCTCTCCCTCCCCTTTCTCATAGAATAGGTAAATAAGAAATTAATTTGTTTTCACTGATTTATTGGGGAAAGGAAATTAATGTTTTACTGGAAACTCCAAGTTAGACTAATGTGTGGACAATGTAGTCAGGTTGTTTCAGGATTGTCACCTTCAAGATAACACAGCATTGGCCATTATCAGAAACTGTCAGTGGATTAGAAAAATCAGTATGATAGAGCAATTTATAATTGTATGTTATTACAGTTTTTTGTGGGGCTTTGTTGGTTTTGGTTCTATTTACTGGGGGGGGGGAAGGGGGAAGAGTGGGAAAGAATGGGGTGGGAGCATCCTGAGACACCTAAATGCCAGGTGTCATTTATGTGACAGTAAAATATAAAAGTGTTACATGTTTTGTACATTAGGACAATAATAATTGTGATTAGCTGATGTAAAAAAAAATTACTTCCCACATTAAAAAAAGTCTCTTTGAATCACAACAGGGAAAAAAAAGAAATCTGCCTTGGTCTTTATGGCTTGCATATAAAACTTTCTTTTGGCAATGCCACACCTATCTCCTTGAATGTGTGGGCAACAGTCCAGGAAAAAGCCTGTTAAATCCTAGTTAGCTGTTTAACTTGAGCAGGATCTACTCTTTAATAATTTACAGCACAGTACTGCAACTGCCAGCTTACAATCTGACTAAGTCAATAACATGAAGTCTTCCATTCTTCCTCCTATCATTCAAGTGTTAACTAATTTTCACCTTGTGGCTGTAAATTAAGCAAACATTACTTACTTTTGGGGTTTTATGCAGATCAAGAATGAAAACTGCTGGGAAGTACTCAAAAGACACATGCCAATATTCAGTTCTAGAAAGAAACTCACATTTTAAACTTCATTTAGCCCACTAAACAATAGCTTTAATCCCCAGGAGCAAAAAAACCAACTTTTAAAATCAACCTGTCACTGTATCAAAATCTGATATTCTGTGATATATTAAATCTGTAATACTGAACCAGCTTATTCTATTTGTAAACATGTTTGCACAGAAGTCCTTATGACTACCAAAGAGGAAAAAACCAAGTCTTTTGACTGGAGACAATGCTGTGGACAGACAATGCTTCAGACATCAAAACTCAGAAGTCACATTTTCACCAGTAGTGTGGGAAACAAATTGTTCCAGCTGTTCAGCAAATTTTTTAATGATACAGCCAAAGACTTGTTTATTATTCACCACAGTACATGTCTACGTAAGTATTATTCCACTTATGAAACATAAAGTTACTGTTTAAAAATAATAAAACAAAATGGAGAAATATGCATGAGGAAGCTTTGAGATAAATTATTTGAAGTATTTGTTTTGAGCACATACTTTGGACTATGTAAATGCATTTGATCTGAATAATGTCAAACAGTATTTTCCATACACATATTCCCTGGAGGAATTACTACAATAACTTCTCCAGCATTTGCTACTATCAAGAACCAAGCTAACCCAAGCACACTGAAGTGACATACATCCTTTCTAACACTCACTGTATGTGGTGTATGTAAAAGCATAATGAGCATGTATATAAAAGCATAATTGCAACAAAAGAAAGAAAGCAAATAGTTTGATAAGCATAAACACTAAAACTTAAGAAAAAAGGGGCTTTGCATACACAAATATAGCACAAAGGAGACAATGATAAGCCACAGGATCAGTAACTCATCTGGTAAGAATACCACAAACTGTGAATAAAGCAAGATGGGAAGGCAAGATTCATACATGCAAAAACAGACTTTATAATCCATCAGGGAAAAGCAGGGCACTCATTTCATTATTAATTCAAACTGATTTAAGTCCTTCCAGCAAAGAGAAAGAGTGGTTCTGTCTTGCATGCTCCCGCAACTCCCCACCACTACTCTGGCATTAATATGAGAATAATGCTGGCAACACATTGATGTTTTAGTTACTGCTCGGTGGTGCTTACACTAAGGCAAGGATTTGCCCATTTTCTATGCCCTGCCAGCCAGCAGGTGCACAAGAAATCTGAAGGAAGCTCTGTCAGGTATCCCAAACTGGCCAAAGGGACATTCCTTACCACAGAACACTGGGACATAAAGTCGGGGAGCTGGCCAGGAGGCATCAATAGCTGCTGGGGGACTGTAGGAATCCTCTCCTCTTTGGGACTCAAAGCCTGTTTATTATTAGAAGCCACCTTGGATCCAGGTGATGCCTCATGGGGGTAACAGACCGAGGTGTTTGGTGGCATCAGGTAGAAAGAAAGAGACCGAAGTCCAGGGGGGTTTTGAGCCCAGGGAAAAGGGGTAGGGCAAAACCAGGAAGCCACATCCAATGGGACACAGGTGAGGAGAGGGGGATGGAGAGCAGGTCAGGGAGAGACCACCACACCTGAGGCTTAGCGGGGAGGGGAAAGGTGTGTGGAATAGACCAATGTGACATAAACTCCATGGTGCAATATAAAAACTACTCAGTGCAAATTCCCGATCACCCAGTGCAAAACAACAACTAAATAAGCTATTTAGTGCATCACAACAGTTGGGCATCAGACAGCAGGTGCTGAGCAATTGGATTGTGTACGTCTTGTTTCTCTTGGGTTTTATTCATCTCAGTTATCAAAGTGTTCTTATCTCAACACAGAGTTTTCTTCAAAAATCTAGCATAAGATGTGGGAAGTGACTAAAAGTCTGCATGATATTTAGACACCAGCTGGTGTTAAAACATGAGAACTTGCCACAAAAAGGTTTTTTGCTTCCAGGCCAAGAGACTAACAGCTAAAATACATAATAGTGTGCAGGGGAAAAGTTCATAAATAAGGTTTTTAAGGAAGTATTTCTCTTTAAGGTTGATCATTGTGTTGCACACTCATGTATAGTTCAGTGGAGGCACATCAATTAAGTAAGCCTTACAACAAATTTCAAGCTCAAAATGGAGGAGATATTATTAATTGAAATCTATTTCTCAATAAATGGAATTCCATTCTGAAACTGCACTTTTCCTCAATAAACATAAAAAACCTACCCAATCAACAAAGGAACCCCAAACAAAAACCACCCAACCAAACAAACGAACACCCCATGCATCCAATAAAACTCAGACCAAAAAAAAACAACCTGTTTCTACAGAGTGGTTCTGCCAAAGATCTTGCTTCACAGCCTGTGCTCAAAGCAATCTAGATTCTGTTTTGTCACGGAGGACACAAGGACATATCACATGGTGCAGCGCTGTCTTCAAAACCACCAAAATTGCCAAGTTAGTTTCTTAAAGTTTAAGCACAAGAGGATGGTATTTGACACACATGAACACAAAATTACTTTTACAGGTACTAGGCAACAGCAAGTAGACCGGAGAAAAAAAGCCCCGTAAAATGACAGGACTTTCACTTCACTTTACTCACTTTCCTTCACTTTACATTTAACTAAAACCCAAACAGCTAATGTGAGGACAATCTAGTCAGGTCGTTTCAGGATTATCACCTTCAGTAACCCAATGTAAGCAAAGCAAAATCATATGATATGAGAATATTAATATAAAACTTCCACAGGTGTATCTAATGCACCTTCTGACTTTTCGTACATTCATTTAGCTGTGAAGAGGTATTAACTTCAAACTATACTCTATATTCCTTCTCTCTAGTTCAGCCAGCCTCAGACCATCCTTTTTTTTTTTTTTCCTTCCTACTGTCGTGGTTTGACATAGGAAAAGAATTTTCTTAGAAGGAAGAGGTCAGTCCAGTCAGGGGTCAGTCCAGTCAGGGGTCAGGTTTGGATACTGACACTTGGGGTGACCAATTGAAGGTGGACATGTCTCTGAGAACACAGAGGGGTTAAAAGCAGAATTCCCAGGAGAACTCACTTTTTTTTGGTTCCGGTCAGTGGAGAGTGCAAACCTCCCCTGCCCAGCCATGAGCTGGGTGGGGGAGGGGAAAAGCCATGTGGCCTGAGAAGGTAGGCCAGGGGGTGAAGGATCGGGAACCGAGCTGGGCCAGCTCCTGCGGACGGAAGGGTGGAGAATGTCTGAGATGTCTTTGTGTCCCCCCCGCCCCCAACCTAGAGGGAAAAGAGACAGAGAGCCTGCAGACACCCGGGATTTATATGTATCTATCCTGTATATACCTTCATAACTTGTATACACAAGATATGATCATACAAAACACATCTATACATGGTTACACCTTATATTTGACATTCCTCTGTAAAATAACCTCTGATCCCAGACAGCTTCTTCCAATAAAGGTCATTAGTGAGGAGAATTAAGCTTTCCCTCTCTTCCCTGCCACCACATCATTATAGTGGACGAATCCATACCAGTTTGGCTGATGTCTTTTGACAAATGCATGGCTTTCCAGCAAAACAGCTCTCCCTACTCTTAAACTAGAGCTGGAAAACAAACAGCATCTCTGCAGGGTATTTGCTTGTGTGTCACAAGAAAATCAAATTTTGAATTTGATGCAAAATGGTGCACAGGCACATACATGTTCACCCTACCACTTCAGGCTCCTGAGTGAGACACATGCTCTTCTTCAGCCACAAAATGCAGAATTCAGGAAATTAGTCCAATGCACCACTTCCCTAGGGTATCACTTCCCATGATTTCAAAGCAAGCTTTGAAACAAACTGAACAACTCTATTTTAGGGTGACAGAGGAAAGAGCATTAAGGAGGCAGGAATTTCAAATTCATTGGCCTCAAAAGCCACCTTTCCCAGCATCCCACCTCTAACACTGAAATGCCAAATGAATTCGAAGGCAGCCATAAAGCACAGTATTTTCCAAGCAGCAGCTTCTTCTGTCTGAGGAACATGTGGAAATAGAAAAACACCTAGGTAGTGGCTTAGGCGTTTGCCCAAGGTCATTCAGTTGCTCCTTAACCTACATAGACCCACTGTAACTAGTATTATTGGTATTATGGTTGCCATGCACTTGAAGCTTCACCACCTATTGCCTGAAGAGCACTACCTTCTGCTCAGTCTGAAATACAACTTGATGATGTCATTTGAAGCACATCAGTGAATGCAGGACAACCCTACCTTCCCTCTCCCAGCCACAAACATTTTCTGTACCATTTGGAATCCTGGAGATGACTGTGATGGCTCTCCTCTGCTGACTCTTGTCCAGCCTGTAAACCACACTCTGGATTCCTGTAGAGAAACTACTGCACAGCTTTGGTGACCTTTGTTCTCTTCTCTGTTATCTTTTGCAGCACTTCAAAACTCCACTGGTGATTCTCCCACAGTACAACAATTAACCAAGTGTATTTCTAAGCTGCTTTGTAACTTTTGCCTTGTCATTCACCCTTGCAATACCACTCTTACCACATGGCTGTATAATATCTCTACAAGCCGCTTCAACTTCAGGAGTATTGAATGTGTTCACTTGTCTCCCTCATCTTTATCACCAACTCTTTCAGGAGAAAGCTTCAAGATACTTCAGAAGAACGACTTTCTTTTTCAGAAGCCACACTGACTCTTCCCCAGACACCATATTCCACCCCATGTCCAACAGTTCTAGTTCTGTAAAATACTTAGCACTACTTCTCTGGGCATGGATGCCACATTTTATGAACAGTTCCTATATGTCCACTAGACTCAAAAACACCACAAGGAAAGTAGATTGTGTGCTGCCACCTACCACTCAATTAATGTCTTTTTGAATCGAAAAGATGGCATATCATGCTTGGCAGAAGCAATATTTAATTCATTAAGCTCCCTTAAAACTCCTGGATGAGGTCCTGTCACCATCTCTCAACATCTGCCCCTCTTGCTAGCCTGTGCTGAAAACTCTCTGGCCAGCCCTTTCAGTGCCTTTTAGTAACTCTGGCAATGTCTATTTATAGAAAGGAAGCATAATACTCCATTACATTTGCCCTTTTCTTACCTTTGAATTTTATTTTTTCTGCTCATGCATGTATTTTCACTCCCTGTAGGACTGAAGCAGAAAGCAAGAAAATGCAACAGCATTCAGTAGCAACATCCAATAATAGAAGGCAGAAGTGACAGGATTGATTACTCACTTGAATCCTATCTGAATATTCTGAGATATCTTTTTAAAAAATGCACACATTAAAAAATAAACAGACAAACCATACCTCATATTTTTTAAAGTATATGCAAAGAATGAACAGAAAGAGAGAAATTATCAAGGATACGTGTTTGTCTCAAAAGACACAGAAAGAATTGATTTACTATTTCCCTGAAGACCAGGGGTAAAGATTATTTCAAAATAAACTAATGATATATGACATTGATGTGCACCTACTACCTTCCATTTTTACTCAATTTTTGTTCCTCTAAGTTCTTCAAAGATTAATCTGGTGATATTTTTCTCAGGCAACACATTTTGAGGAGCAAACCATTCCTGCACAGCAAACCTGCTACCTGAAGAGTACATATTACCATCAAGACGTGACTGTTCAGACTGTTGAATGTAATAGTGCCGGAAAGCTGATTTATAAACTTCAGTATAGAGACTATGGGAGGAGCATTTGAATAGTCTCAACTAAATACTTCTGCTAATAGGGAGAAAAGTGATATTACTAACAACTGCAATCAAAGCAGTATCAGCAACACAAGGAAAATACACAGCAAACCATTTTGCAAAATATTACACAGCAGAAATCATACACACTGCTATTTTAAGTAGCTTTGTTCACATTCTTCACAAAGGAATATCATCCCCCTGGTGAAGTTGAACTGTCAGGAGCACTGCCATGGAAGTCTCAAATTCTCGTATCTTCCCAATACCATTGAGTTTTGGAGGCAGAAACCCAAGATGCCATAAAATTTGTAATGCATTTAGAAATAAACGCCAAACACTTATGCTTACAAATATACTTGGGAATATATCTCTTGGTGCATCTTCTTTTTCTTAATTATTAAAACATTAGTATACAGGAAAAAAGTGAAGGTACAATCCAAGTATGGTAATGATTTATAAGAGAGGATAACAGTTTTATTCAGAACTTCTGAATAAACTTGCAACTTGCAGCTTCTATTATTTCAAAAATATAAAACAAATGCTAAAATGTCCATTCAAGGTCCATTTACTCAATATTACACAATATAAAATGTTTTGCCACACCAGCATTGACTATAAGCTGCAACATGTGATTATCACTTCCCATTGCAGAGTGTGTCTTTGTAAACCACAGTCTCACAGAAAACCGTGGCTCGGAAAAGCCCTACCTTCTCTTCCTGATGTACTCTGTTGGCATTTTCCATCTGAAAGTTGTGCAAGGACTGGATTTTGTCAATCTGCTGTTGCTGCTTCTCTAGCTCCCCTTGGAATTCATTCTTTTTTTGCTCCACAGCACCCCTCTCTGCTGCCGCCCTGCGGACTTTGACTTCCAGATCCATGACTCGACCCTGAGAAAGAGCAGATTAGCCAAAGCAAGCAGAGATGCTTCCCCCTTGCCAGACTCTTGTCCAGTATATTCAAGGAATAGTAAATTTTACAGCGCTAACAATGCGGATATCATGGAAGTCCTGCATCAGCCAGGGATACTAGTCATACATACATACACACACCTCTCTAGTTTTACGTAAATTAACAGGAGTGTGCAGAAGAGACTGTAAAATTTCTGTTAAAGATTAGAAAAATGAAAAGCTCAGTACTTGAGCTTAAAAAGAACCCCAAAACATAAACATAAAAAAGATTAGAGACTACCATCTTTCTGAAGTACAAGGACAAACAATTTTTTCAATTTAGCCCAACCAGTCTGACAGCTCTACACTTCTCAGTGTTGACCCCAAACTAACTCAGTGTGAAAATTCAGCTCTCAAATCAATCTAATTTCCTGGAAGAGCTAGAAAAGATAGAGGGAGGACAACACTGCCCAACTTTTCCATGAACAATTCACATATGGCTATTATACAAAGACATACATGAGAAAAATTCATTCATAAACAGAAAATCATCATTCCTCTTGACTGTTCAAAGAGCAGCTACAGTCAGAAGAAAATTCAACACCATCACATCCTGTACATACATAGACAGAGACATAAGCTAAGGAATCAAGCCTGATGCTTCCACATTCTTTTCTCCTCCACCGCGACTTCTTTTTTGTAAGTACCAATTTAGTTTTGCAGGACATTGTTTCTAAACATTTTGGATTAAAATTGTTCTTCAGCAGCAACTAAGAATACAAAAACACGCAGGGGACTGGGGATATCAACAGAATCCACCTACATGAAAAAAAATCTGGTGATTCCAGGTGGACTAAAAATTAGATATAATAAAAACTGTGCATTTTCCAAGACTCCAAGAAAATGTACCAAATCTTCTTACACCACAGTATGTAGCATGCCATGTCCCACCCACCCTGCCTCTCTGCCACAGAAAGAAAGAAAAGGCAGAGGAGCCAGAGGAAAAAAAACCAGGAAAATTACTTGCAGTTTAGCTGGAATAGCAAGGAAAAACACTCCTTCCATTTCAGTTATAACAGCTGCAAAGTCTTGCCAACAAACAAATGGGCCTACAAAGTGCTTTAGAAGCTCGATCCATGTTCAGCTATGCTTTTCATCCATTCAGAGTGTGTGACCATGCCAAAGTGAAGTAATTTTCAGGCTAACTTTAGGAGAAATGTATAAGATGGCATAGGACCTCGTGTCTCTAGGTTACTGAGACCAAGAAAAACTGGGATGGTGGCATATTTTTCTCACTATCAGCTGCTTCATGGCTGTGCAGCAACACTTCACCAATGCTGACAGTTACTACACACTGGTAGCCACCATGCTAAGGCCACTGACTGAAGGGAAAGCAAGGGATGACCAGGGTCTCAGAAGTCATAAGACATATGCTTTACTGCACAGCCAGATAAAAGTGCCCTGTTTGAACAGTGCCTGTTCTGGGGGGAAACAGGAATTCCACTCCTTCAGCTGTCCACTCGGTATGAAAATTTGGCTCAGTTACGAAGAGCGTGCAAATTCACTAGATAAACTGGAAAGGATCTCTCATGAGCCACATTTAATAAACATGTTAGTTTTTAGGTCAGTTTGTTAAAAGAATAACAAAGGAAAATCTAAAAAAAGAAAAAAGAGTGAAAAAAAAAGGACTGTCCTGCAGAGATTGTCACAAACCAGAAACTTGACTCACATACCCTACATTAGAACAAATGGTACAGAAAGGATTAAAACCCAAGCTCAATGGCCACAAAAATATAATTATCATCATAAAAATATCATTATCATCAGATAAGGTAATTATTACATGTGACTTGTATGTCCTTCTTCAGAAAGGTCACTAAGAAACACAAATTCAGATTTTGTTTCTGAACAACCCAGATTTCTTTGTACGTTATGCATACAATGTTATAGGTCATGTACAAAGACAAATCTAGGAATATCCGTCTGTTAGTTTTGACTGGGATAGAATTAATTTTCTTCACAGTGACTGATATGGAGCACTGTTTTGGATTTGTGATGAACACAGGGTTGATAGCAAAGATATTTTTGTTATTGCTGAGTAGGGCTTGCAAAAGCCAAGGCCTTTTCTGCTTTGAGTACTGCCATGATGGCAAGGAAGTTGGAGGTATTTGGGAGGTTGAGAGGGGACAAAAAACAGAAGACGGCATTTGTCACATCTTTAATGTGAAACAGCACAAGATACCTGAATGTTTTGTGAGAGCAGAAGTAACAAGTGTCACACATGCAGGTGCGTTCAAGTTTTGGGTTCCTCTCATGTACAAATAGGCATTCAATCTATTCCCCCACTACTGATAAGCAACGACTGTAAAATCTGTGGAATTCCAACAAGAAGCTGAAGTTCCTGACTTGCCACATGAGGGAGAATCATCCTTCTGTGAACTATGTTTACTACTTGCACAAGTACAAAGTGACATGCAGAGCAAAAGGAACATTACCTGCAGATCCATGCTGCGAGAACTTGCAACCCAGTAATTGAAACCCAAAACAATTATGCACGCCATAAGTGCAGCCATGAGGAGTGGTGGAGACTTCATCCCACGACAGGTGTTTCCTAGTCCTATCATTTCAAGAAAAGAACAAATCCGGAGAACCACAGCAAGTATGGAAACCTGCAAATTAAAAAGGGCACATTATACTGCATCCCCAACTACAGCTATTTTATACACATGATGAAACTTTCTTTGCAGTAATACAACAGCTGTGAGCTGACAGGTTTACACTCAGCAAGGAAGGTAAATTATTAGTGTTGACCTGTCTAGATATTTCCATCTGAAGGAAAAGACAAGGAAAGGTCATCGCACACTATTAGCTTGTACATAAAGCTTCATCCTCTTGAGGGGGATGTCTTGAATTCTCCTAACAATATAATGAAAATCTGCAATAAACCAAACCAGCCATCCTTTTACCATACATCTACCCAAAAATCTACACAGACAACACTGGGCTAGAGAATAGACTGCTTTTAAACTAATTTACTAAGAAAATTAATTTAGTCTTGCTGTTTGAGGACTAACTCACACTTTACTTTCTAAAACTGGACAGTTTCAACTTATTCCATCTGATACCACTATTCTAACTTCTTGTTCCCAAGCTTGTAAATAAATATGTAAATAAGACTGAACCAAATTATTTAAAGGAGAATCTAAAAATAACAATTAATACAAACATGAGCAGAAACTCAAATGATTTCAATGCTACATTGCATTAGGTGTTCTCCATTTTGATCCTCAGCTGCTTTCTCTTCTCCTACAAAAAAATAAATAATGAATTAGCAGTACCAGGAATACTACTAGTTGTTATTGAGATTTGTGTTATTTCTCTGAAACAGACCATCTTAAAAGATAGGCAGGGCAAAGGATAGTTGCAACTCTCTTTGAAATAGGCTACACTGATTTTATGATGTGGTGAAATCTGGTCTTAATAAGCCAAATGGCACCTAGCTTCATGAATCCTCAAACTCCAGGGAATCTTGGCTTCAGTTTGTAGAAGATTGCTCCCTTGTAAACTGAGATTAACTTTTTTTCCTTCTGCACTCCTGCAGACAAAAGACAGCAAAAATAAGCACAGAAGGCCAGGTAGACAGCAAATACACATGCATCACAAGACACTAGTTAAATCTCAAATGGGTACATTTACTAGCAATGTATTTTACAAGCTCTCAAGGAACATGCTTTTAAGCAAAGCAACCTCTTCCCTACTGTTGCAATGCACAGGTGGCAATGTTTTACAAATTAATAAATGTTAGCAACTCTCAAAGGACTTACATGTGAACATACACTGTAAACACAGGGGCAGAATGTGATGCCAACACTTCGCAGGTACCAGAAATACAAATTCTACTGTATGTCCAGCACTTAAGTCCTTCAACAGCTCACCTATACCTCAAGTGTCCACATGCATTCTCTGCAAAATTCCCTCTCTGCAGTCAAGATAGATTATATCTTCTAATTTCTTAGTAGACAGTGCACAATACTGCCAGATTCACGAAGGTTTCAAATCCTTATTTGAAAAGTTTCCTAATTTGTATTTGGGGTTGGAACATACAGAGGATATAAGAGTAAAATGTAGCTTCCTGAAAACGTTGCCTCTTCATAAACACATACACACACCACAAAACAATCCAAAGAAGTCTTCTATCTGAAACTTGAGTTTCTTGCCTAAAGGAAACCTCAGTTAAGGCACAAAGGGACACATGCAGCACTGCTCCAGTGGACACCCACAGATAAGTTAGATCAACACTAAGAAGCAAAGGCAAATAAAGGAATCAAGTTGTTTTTTTTTTTCCTTATAATGCAAAAAATTAACATGCAATAGATTAAAACACACACACAGACATGCACAAATTTCCCATAGAAAGCTATGAGTTGCAGAAACACACACATCTTGCACAGACTATTTTCCTCCTGTGTCATCCTAAAAGAAGCACCTGAGAAGTACAGAGCCACCATGTCTTACACATGATCCCTGAAAAACAATAACCCCAGATCTCTAAAGTAGCAAAAATTAGAGGACAAAGGGCACAATTAGCACTGCCATCTCTGCAAAGAACAAGAGAATATATTTTACTTTTGCATACCAGAATACAATACTGTATTTCAAAAAAGATCTGTCAGAACCCGTTATGAAGTCATCTGTATCGTGTTCTTTGCTGTAAGAGTATTAGCAGGTACACCTGACACATGGAAAAACCACAAACGTAGCACTGCAAGATGCAGTGATTAATTCATGGAAAAGCCACAAACGTAGCACTGCAAGATGCAGTGATTCATTCTGAGTGTGACTTGAATAAAATAACTGGTATTTTCCTCATAGCTGTCAGAAATAGAGAAAACAGTTCACATTATCAGCAGTAACAGCTTGCACTGTAATCTACTAGATAAGTATATGGGACTAGATGTTTAGCTAAAAAATTTTCAGACATAAAGCAACTATATTGTTCAAAGAAATAATTATTAGTTCACCATGCAGCTTAAAGCACAGATATGTGCTTTAAACTAAGCTAAAAATGCTAATACACCTGGATAGTAGACAAATCTGGCAGCATTAGCACCTTTTCTGCTGTTTTGAGCTGTTAAAAAACAAACATGCAAATAATTGTTGATTTCACTAAAGCATGTTTGACTTCAGTACACTGCTCTTTCTACAAAAGAGCAGTGCTGTTTATCCTTAAATCATTCATATAATTGGCAATATATTTTTATGCTCAAGAGAAGGAAAAGCAAAAGGAAGAGGAAAGGCATGAAAGACACAGAAGGATCTTCCGTTCGTGTACTGCAGACCCAAAACTTTACCTCACCTGCAATATTGATATTACCTCTCTCATTAGTTTAAAAAATAAAAACTGTTTAACTTGCTGCCATGGATATGCATACTCATGCATTTTGGAGGACAGATAAGCAAATCAGCTCAATAAGTACATTTACATGAAAATCTGTTTGCACGTGCTGTTTTCCAGGAAACATCTGGTCTGGCACAGTTATTCGAGTTGGATTGAAAATAAGTTTCTGATTTTATGGGTAAAGAGTAATTTTACTGAAGATGAAATTCAACCATCTCCATGGCAGACGTAAAAATAAGCATATTCGTAAAATTCCTGGCTTCTGAACAGAAGATTTCATCCTTCTGTTTTTCCAGCCTAGTGGAGCTTCATTGAGAAGATGTTTTAGACTCTGAGATACTCAAGCAAATTAACATACAGCATACTTTTACTTCCCACAGTAAGCAATTCTTTCTTTTTACTGTACTCAGCTGAAGTAGGATATCTAGTATCCAGCAATCTTCCACTACAGATAAGCAGCAACGTTGCCAACCAAACCTCAAGACCAATACTTTAGTTGTAAAGACAAAACAAAATGGTGCATTTCAGACTCCCAGAAAGAAAGCCAAGTCTCTCTGCTCACAGGATTCAGCTCTGTGTACTTCTGTAAGAGCAGAAATACCTAGAAAAGGTGAAAAATTCAATAGACACACAGCATACAGTGTAGGAAAAATGTTCCCTTATCCCTTGCCAGCATACCTGCCTACCAACCACCTCCTCTATCACCCAGATACTGCATGGTACAAAGCCAGTATAAGCCAGAGCCGCATCTAGAGACAGGCCACAGCTGAAGCAGCCACTGAAAAGTGAAGGCACAGCTCCTTGGAGGTCTGAGTGCTTGCAACTCTGAGTAAGTACAAAGCCTCACTAAAACCCCTGCATAAACCAGAGATAAGAGACATAAAAAGGAAAAATAAAAAGCCTCAACAAGGACCTAAGGGCTAATGCACAGCATAGAGGTATCACAATCCCATCCCAGCCAGACTGGACCAGAATGGGGAGACCTCCTCCGTCAAGGGAGTCCCTACCACAGTGGTGCTTTCCCCACCTATTGCAAATTCCTTTCCAACCTCCCAGTGAGCTTCTGAAGGAAATCATTGGCGTTTTTTTCAGATACTGTCATTCAATTCCTATGTCTGATTGCTTGAATTAAAGCATATTGTATTAACCAACCAAGTTAATCAAAACTACCTCCATTGACAAGCTACTTAGGTATACCCAGATAAAACTAAAGCAAACTAAATCAGATGCCAAAAGGTACTAGAACTTGAGTTTTATTTTAAAAAATAATTAAATGAAATTGGAAAAATAAGTAATTCTTAAAATAGTGAATCAGAGATCAAACATTTCTGTGTCTGGTCTTCCAAAAATAAATATTTTTTGTGTGGGTGGAAATGGAGTGCAGAAAAAAAGGAGTCAAAACCTTTCAGTTTTCATTTTATAAATGGTTAATACACAGTAGTGATTATCTTTGAAAGATAAATCCAGCTGGTTCTTACTCACAGCAGGATGTTACTTACAAGTACCACTATTCACAGCCCCAGGGTGAGAACCAGCTATAGCCAGCAGCAACTTTTATGCTTTCTGCTTGCACAGACTGTACACAGGGCTCAAGGAACTGTACACTGTCTCAAAACAGAGCATACAGATTTCCTATCATCCTCTGCAGCAACATGGTCTGCGGGTGGTTTTTCCTTTCAAATTTGCAAGTCAAAAAAGGTCAAGCAAACATTTTTCCATTGGAGATTTAAAGTTTGTGCACTGAACTCAAACCTGCTGACCACAAACTTCCTATATGCCTTACACAGGGATTTACAAACTGCAGGAAAAAAATAAAAGAAAAAACACTCTGAAACATTCAGCAACAGCTGCTACTCAAATTTCTATACTTTGGATGAATGTCACAGAGTCACTATTCACCAAAATTATCAAGCTACATTTTTTACAGGAAGGGAAGGGCATTTTCACCACAACACATTCAGCAACTCCACTCTTATCCTGCTCAGGAATAACCATTTGACAGTCAATTGAGGTGTCAGGTCTTCCTTTTCTAACACATTTTAAAATAGAAGTAACAGATCAGAAAACTACGAAAATCCTGAAAATGCACTATCTGTCCAAGGATACAGTCACTGTTACAACTTGTTCACTAATCATATTTCAGCTCAAGAAGTCTCTCATCTTTCAAATTACTACTTTACAAGAAGCTAATAACCAAATACCCTTAATGCCCTTTATCTGATTAAAAAAAATCCCGAAACAGGTATGGGGCAAAACAGAAGCTAAA